TGTTTGAGCAGTGGTTGGTCGATGCTATGAAGTGGCAGTGGAGAGACGCTTTCATGTACTCGAAGCTACAGGAACGGCGAAGTTCTTTGCAAGAGATGATCAAGGAAAAGAAACAAGACATTCAAGAGGCGGTTTGCTTAAGGCTGAAACAACTGTGGTGGGGGCGGCTGGTTGAAATGCAGGCTTTCTACATAGCTGGAGCTGAGGCGTCTTTTATGCGAGATCTACGACGGGCTGAATGCCTCTATGGAGCCACATTGGGGGCACAAGATGTAGAAGACGAAGATGAGGGGTTGCCGAACGTTGCCTTCAACAGGCTTTTTATGACCAATGGCAAGGAGGTTGAGAATGCCTTGATGTGCGCTGAAGATGCTCGTTCCTCTGTACTGCGCATCGTTAAAAACCCAGCCTACAAGCACTTCAAGGACTCTTTGGAGGTGCTTAATTCGAGGCCATCTGACGCTGCTGCATACACTCAGTATTTGAAGCAGCAAATCGAAAGGGCAGGGAACCTTATACGCAGATTTGATGATGCGACTGAGAGCGTCGACGGCTACGAAACCTTAGAGAAGGAATGCACTCAGCTGGAGGCAGCCTTGGCCATACTGCAACAAGAGGCAAATTCACTGGAAAGCAAGCTCTCGTCTCGTCAGTCCCAACTTAGCGCTAAGAGACAAAAACTCACTCATAATCTTGAAAAGCTGTCTGCGGTATTTGATGTGGATAACCAGAAGCTGTCTGCAACGGAAGCCCAGTGGGACTCAGCAGAAAAATTGGAACAGCTTGTTCACGAACTTATGCCTACGGCAGAAGAAGTTGCCGCTTACAAGGACAAACTTGCTCAGGAGAAGATACAGCTGGAGGCAGAAAAAGCTGAAATACAGAGAGAGCGAGAGCGACTGAGCGAGCTCGAGCAGGAGCTTGCAAAGACAGAACAAGCAAGAGAGGCCAAGCCCACAAGTGGCTTATCAGGCCTTGACATAAAACCTTCATCCCATGCACCGGCGGAAAATGCTGTCTTTTCCGCACCCCAATCAGCTAAGCAAGATATGAACCAGTTGCTTTCAACCGCCCAGTCGAAGTCGTTTGTCGGCCGTCTCTTTGGAGCTTCCTCCAGGGCCTCTACCCCAAGACAGTCTAAAGCAAATGCCCACAAAGCACGGTCTGACGCTCCTGAAGAGCTTAAAACTGCCTTAACAGCCACCCAATCCGCTGCTGATATGGTACCAAATTCGCTTGGAAGCGACGAAAAGTTGCTTCTCAGACACGGTCAATCCGCCCCTGTTCACCTGGAGAGCTTGCTGGAGCTTAACAGGGAAAAAAGTAGACCTCTGGAAAGTCTACCAGGGAAAAAGCAAGAGCAGACTCAGCACGATCTTCCGCTAACGCACGCGCTGTCTTCACCTTCCGTCTTGATGGATAAAAAGGAAGAGCAGTGGCCGCCTACATCTCATGCAGTTATCTTGTCTGCAACTTCTTCCAAGGAGGAACAGCAGCAGGCTACTCGATCACAGACGGGAAGGACAGAATCATTCGAAATATTGGCCAATGACGCAGACATGCCGAAGCGTAGAAAGTCAAAAGGTACACCAGGGCTGTCGTTGACGCGTAAGAGTCACAAGAGGAAAAAAAGCATGTACAGCAAGCTCAGAAGTGCCTTTTCTCTTTCCCACAAGAGCAAAAACGGAAGCACAGAATCCGTAGGAAGCCCTAAAGGGGAACCTCCAAAAGGCCTAGAGGGACGCCTCGCAGCGCATCGTTCCTTTGACACCGGGGTAGCCGAGTCCAGCAAAGAAGAGGGAGAGCCTGTGCAGTCTCACGAAGGCATCCAGAGCGTCGAACTGGCGACAATTCCAAACATTTTTGACAGTGATGGCGACTCTGGAGCAGGTGACGGCTTCGCTCCCCTTGACAGCGCTGGCGGAGCTATTCCATTGTCCGTTGGCTACTCGAACAGATATGAAGGCAGCAATGTAGCAGCTGCTGACGGCACTCCGTCTCAGGAACCTGCAGCTGCTTCCCTTGAGGGTTTCAGCAGAGGGACTACCATCACTTTCATGGGTGCTGCGAAAGGCCAAGCAACTGCAAATGTGTCTCTCGCGGAATCTTTTCGCCGAGCTTCGCCAGATCTCAAAGAGAGACCACAACAAGAACTACAGGGCAGGCGTTCGCCCTCTGACTCTCTTCCTAACAATGTAAAACCGTCGTTTCCTTCCGACTCGGCCGTTGAGGAAGAGCATTTGCCTGAGTTCGGCAGTTACAATGTACAGCATATGGAATACGAGGAATCGGACAAAGATGTCAAATCGCGTCCGCTCAGTCCCAGTATTAAAAATATGCAGGGCCCAACGGAAGAAACTACTCAGACGGAAGTAGGGCCTCTCGTGCCATTTCCGTCTCTATCTGCTGGCTCGCCCTCCGATTTTCAACGTGGCGTTAAAGACCAGATCGTTCCAGTCGACGGCATTCAAGCCCGGCTGGCCCAGGAGATACCCTCTCGACGCCGCCGCAGCGATATAACGGGGTCCCCTAGGCATCCTGCAACAATTTCGTTGGTTCGGGGGACGCAATCCAGTAGAGCCGTAGCGTTTGATACGAGTATTGCGGGCTTTTCAATACAGTCCTCGTCCGGATGTGTTGACGAAGACGACCGCATTGAATTGTTTCTCTGCAACAGTCAGCCGGATCTCACAACAGCCGTTATGGGGAGCCCCGTCTTCTCGCTGCTGAATGCGGAGGAACGCCAGCACTGCATTCATTTGATGCTAAATAGCTTTGTACAGATACCCAGAGGCTGTATGCTTATCCAGAAGGGTGAAAAGGTGGACACTCTGTACTTTTTAGTCTCCGGTGAACTTGGAATGACAGAGGCCAATGCGACAGAGCCCCAAGAAAACACATCCGCACTCGCACCTCCGAGCTATTCTGCGCGCCGACGCAGCAGTTACGACATGGAAATATCACCGGACAAAGTCCCGATAAAAATCGGCCCTGGAGCCTTCGTAACCCCAAGGGCGTTTGTGCGGGAGGAACAAACGAACCACTCTGTCGTGGCTCTTCGTCCTTGTACACTACAGAAGCTCAGCTTTCACTCTTTTCAACAGGTCATAAGTTGTGAGCAGTGGGAGCAAACGTGAACACAGTGAAATATTGCTAGCTAACTGCACTACTTCGTAGCTTCAACACTTCTGCTTCCATGGCCGGCTCGCGCTGCGGCATGCTAAGTGTTTTTAAAACTGTTTCTGTTTTCTCTTCAGCTTGCATTTTCCGGAGGGCATCTCAAGTCATGAGCTACCTCGGACATTGTCCAATTCTAGAATCGTTGACAAGGTAATTAATTACATCTAACAAAAATCTAATCTATTCACTCTCTTCTGAAAAGACATGCTGAAACTTGCGGTGCAACAATCGCGCACTGATCAATTTATTTTTATGCAGGAGTGAAAGAGTTCAAATAGCAGCTCTGCTGAAATGGAAGATATACCTCCCCGACGAAGTCCTTTGTTCCCAGGGACAGCTATGCAGTGGATTGCTGCTTGTGGTACACGGTGCGCCCATGTTTAACTAAAAGCCGCTGTCAACAATTCTAACCAAGAAGCCGCAAGTAATACGGAGCCGCCACCACTAATACTTTTTGGTCTAGCCGACGCATCCTGCACACAGGTTCCTTTCAAGTTTTGGAGTTCACTGACTCGGGCTTTCAGCGTTTGCGTTACTTTGCAGGCTACGCGCGGGCATTTCTCTCTGTGGAGCGCCAAGGTAGCCCAGAGATGGTAGACGAGCTTGGCCCAGGTGCGAAAGGAGTTATACTTCTTTGTGCAGGAAGATTTAGCTGAAACAGCAGCACTGTTCATCCATGAAGACTTTTACTAGTTGGTTGTATTGCGCCCCTAGACTGCAAATGACTGCCACCCGTCTCGCCTTGCAGCCAGACTCCGTCCACCTGCTCTTTGATCTCTCCTCGCTTGCTCAGGAGATAACGTAAACGCATTGGCTCTCCTGCACGATGCACCCTCTGACGTGACCGTCATCGCAGCTGCCCCAGACGGCTGCGTTGTCGCTGTATTAGAACGCCGGGAGCTGAAAGAGTGCCTTGGAAACGTTGAGTCCATCCTGAAAAGGTCCGGAAGAGTAGCAGCTCATTAATACGGACGGCATTCACATTCGTGCAACGTACTTAGTCCGTCTCGTGTGTACACTGCGCATCAAAAACAGAGTCGTGGGTTTTCGCAGCTCAGCGACTTTGTTGCTGCATACGTGACCTTGCTGTGCTTCATTCAGACGCTTAGAAAACACTAGCGAGAGCCAAAGGGGTCGAGCGTCGGGGCTGAACCAAGTGAGACTAAATGCAGGAAGAAGTAACGCTTGATTGAGAGCTTGAAGACCCCGTACGGAAATTTTTGTATACGCTGAGGTTGTGTACGCATGCCTGTCCTTTGTCTGCAGTTGAAGAAACAGCTCTCAAATTTCTGGACCCGTCGTGGTTCTCACTAGTCAAAGAATTGACTGCTACAGCGAAAAGCTGCTGCAGCAGGGCGTGCGACTCACGGAAGCAGAACTACCCATGAGACACGCTATGTGCGGTTTTTTCCGCATGTGGATACCAGCGCGATTCATGCCCAAAATGTTTTATTTGTACACCACATACTAATGAGTAGTACAATAATCCTGTGCTCTCGAATTTTACTCGCCATGGCGCAGCATGTCGCTCGCGCACCCTGTGGACTGGCATCTGTTCGTAACTTGATGACCGGAAGCCAAAAGTAGCAACAAAACAGTCGTATCTAAATTGTCTCTGCCCATTTAAATTACGCGCAAGATAAGGGCAAGAAACGCACTTCCCTACACGTGAAAGCATACTGCAAAAGCAGCGCACTGCTTGGAGGGTATGAATACCACTGTCCGTACTACTCAGGCGACGAATACAAGGCGTTTACAAGCTTTCGCCAAGAGCTACTTGCTGCGCGCTGAGCAAGCAAGCGTTTGTACGCTTCCTGTCCTTACTCCTTCCCCGACTCGCTGTCCTTGTTGAAGAGCCTGTCCGGTAGAACTGATACCGTCAGGCCTTCTTTTTGGAGCGCTTATCGCAGACACACAAACACAACAATGTAACGGCACACTGAAGCTGGACTCACCTCACAAGGGACAAATTCATGCGGACCACTCCGCGGCGCGGAGGAAAACATGATGCGGAGGAAAACAAACTGTTTTTCTGTCACAGCTCGAGGCCTAAAACCAGCGTGCTGTTCCAGAAAGTTCGATCCAGATGGAGGGAGGACACTGAGGATCAAATGTAAATAACTTATGCAATCGTCGTGCACGCTTAGCATCACCGCAAATGCTGGTTCGCTTCGCCAGGCATGGCCGGCGGGCACCGGTCCATACAAAAAAAACACACCCGATACGAGCCTACGTGTCCTATCACGTTCACAGAACAGCACGAGGCAGCACAAACTCTCTGCAATGGGCCTTTACAAGCATATGCTCTGCACATCGAACTGTTTCCAGTATTGCCGCGAGCTCCAGCGCACCTAATGCAACTTCCCCAGCCTTTTCCTTCCACGTAAGCATGATAGTTGCTTTTGAGGTGGTGTGTGCGTGCAATGCAATGTCGTATGCCCTTGCGCGGCTGATGTGCGGCAGTGTCTTCGTGATTGCGTTTTCGACGCATTCAAATCTGCACAGAACTGACACAAAGAACGTAATGCCTCAGCAAAGTAAATGGTTCCGTATCCGAATATGTCTGGACAGTTCCTCAGCGCTGTTATGCGCTCACGTGTGGATGTCATCATTGTGAAGCACGACACGCCATTCCTTAACGCGCTGTCGCCGCTTTTCCGGTCCTTCCTTGTCCTCCAAGGCTGCGTCTTTCTTGACCTGAGAATCTCCTACTGTCTGTATCTCCTCTCGTTGCACCCTGGTAATAAACCGCAACAATCGCAGTTCCCGCTTCGTGTCATCTGAGGGTCGAGAAAGGCCTGCGCTGCTGTCCACGAGCTCTAAACTCCTGCAGGCTTAAGGTTGCGGTTATAATGCCAAACAAAAGCGACGGCGATGCTCTATGAATCGGGCAATGCATGCACTGCGTTGTATCGCGTACGCAGCCTTATACGAATCGCAAGAGGCTCACCTCTTCAGTTGTTTGGTTGAAAGTGGAATCCTCGAAATCCGAGGGCCAGATGCAAACAAAGAGCACCCCCTTGGGTACATATGATTTTTAACGTTCACCTCACCGCTTCCACCACATAAAGCGTTGCATTCCCCCCAGTGGAAGTATCCACGCCGCTCCCCCCGTCCTGTATGAGTCAGGTCAGCGTTCCCTCGCATGCATCTCGAAGTAAGCATACTCCAGGCCGGACTGCCAAAACTTGAAGAGGAGAAGAGCCGACTGTTAGGAGCTCCTAGTGGCGTGGCAAAGGCAGTTCGGCGGGGGGCGTCCCGCAAAATGGGACTCGAGGGCTTGGGCGCAGAGGATTCAAGCGTAACGACAGGAGGAACCACCGGTGCAGCCTTGGCTAGCTGGATGCTGCACAATTCTTTCCCCAGGGGTACTTCTTGATGCACCCTAGGCAACGAGTTGCCACCTTTGGTGATCAGCGAGGCGCTTGCAAACAAAGGAAGGGTGCCGAGAGGTCCACACGCACGCGAGAGAAGAGAGCGCAAAACAACCACCAGCACCAGCGACGACAGCTTGCACAGCTGCTTCATAGCGGCAGCGGATTATTGCAGTGTGGATTGGGACAGAGGAAAGGGAACCCGGAGAGTCACTTCAAGTGTTTCAACCACTGTCTCACGTGCTGCTCCTTCGGCGGCGAAGTATTAATGACCTCATTTCCCTCCATCTTTCGAAAATAACGTAGTTATTCTTTTAAGATAGCGTCGTGTCGCTGTACTTCACAATGGTCACACAGGCTAGACGGGAAGAATGAAATGCTATGAAAGAATAGCCTGGATGGCTCAAATTGTCACGTTGAACAGGCCAAGCTCTGACTTCTATTAGCAAAATTCCTTCATTACTAACAGCGTCAATTGTATTCTCAGTGCGTGGACGACTGCCTGGGACAAAGACGCAGCGGTTGTCCCTCATGCAAGCCACAATGGTGGGGCCGGGAAGGTGGGTAGGAGAAAAGCAAGTGAAAGGCGTTCCACGCTTAGAAAAAAATTAATTTTTCGTTTTATTAAACAAATAATATATTTTCATGAACGTTGAAATCCACTTTAGCCTCAGTGGACATACTAGATAAGTGGTTGGTCTTATGCGCCGTTTCGGCGGCCACGGGGTGGGGCCATGGTGTCACACATCATTTAAACTTACCTGGCAGGCGCTCGGGGTGGCTCGCGCATCACCCTGTCGTAGTCCGGAGCAGAGCACTGCACTCAGCTGTCTGTAATGGGCTATGGGCCTCCATACGGGGGTGCCAACTGCAGAATTTCTGATAGCGGCATGTTGCGCTAGCGCTCATGCCATCGATCGAACCATATCTATGTTTGTGTCTACCCTAAGGGGTGTTTTCGGAAAATAACACCAATCGGAGAGGGTTCTCCTGGTTGCTCCTGGTTTTTCCCGTGCAGTGGGTGTGCACTTTTCACACAGGTGAATTGCGTTCATTGGAGGCCTGCTTGCCTACACGGTACCTGTCTCTTTCTGTCTCTTCTGTGCCACTTGGGAGTTCGTTGAAAAGGAGCGTTTTAGTTCGTCCTTAAGCTCTGGAAAATGTGATGGCTACGCTGTGTGGTGACTAGGTACTTTCCGTAGGAAACATCGCCTTAAAGTCGGCTAGGGCGTCCGTCTTTGAATTTTTCGTCAGCTCATTCATGACCGAGTAGAATACGGCTGTTCGCTGCATAACGCAAGATTGCGCAGCATGTCTCTCGCAGCGGCATATTTATAGAGCAAGCGCTGGCACAGCTACGAAGTCACGTGCTTTCCACTCTGGCTGCGAAACTCCCCTAAGTGTCCGCCTTGCGAAAGCTTGCCCGTGTGTACTGCATACCTTTACATCGTGTACTCTGAGGATATCGACGCAGTTGTCCTTTGCAGCCCAACATGCTACAGCTAATCCCGCGACGTCACGGTTAGACATAGTTGCTTCTGTCAGTTTTCCTTCACCATCATTTGCCTTGTTTCCCGGTGACTCCTGTTTTGCATGATTGTCCGGCATAGCTGCTATGGCCGATTCAATGAACCTGGAACTCTCCACTGACAGACAAAAGACCTGTTACTGTTACACTAGCTAAGCTAGGCTGCGTAGCCACGTGGAGCTCAAACACGATAAATCCTACCTTTTCCGGGAATGACCAACAAGCATCGGCAGACCGCTGGGCAGTTTAGTTCGAAGATCTCGAAGTCTGCGGAGTATCTCAAAGGAGTGATCGGCAGTCTTTGCAAAGCCCAAACCCACGTCCAGAACCAGACGCCATCTAAGAGGGACATAATACAGTTTGTTTTCTATTTGCTGCGGTTAATTTCAGCTCGGTGCAGCAGGATAATCTCTGTTTACGTAATAAGTGCCCCAAATATTTCTGCTGTAGCGAGATAGGTGTACTGCTTTGAGATAACAACGTAGTGTAGCTTAAAAGATAACACTGTAGTGTAGCTTTAAAGTGACGCTGGAGTATGTATATGCAGTGCGCGCTTCTGTACCCATCACCTTGAGTGCAGGTGCACTCAGTGAAAGTCTTACCGCGGCAGTCCCATTTTAATTAGCGTCTCAGTCTTATCAGTCAAGTACTTCGCCACCTCAGCAATAACATCGTCGTACACTGCCTATGCGCCAAACAGGAAAACGTTCTACAGGCGGCTGTACTTTGTTAGCGCCATGCACGTTGTGCAGCATGCACTTACTACCGCTAGTATCAGCTTAGTGCTTCAGTGTACAAACGCACCAGACTGTCCATAGACTGCGGAGTACCACGTGAGTGCATCAGAACAAGCGGGAAGCCTCTGGATGCGGCAAACATGAGAAGGTCTGGGTCCACCTCGCCTGCGCTCACGTCGTTGATCTGCATGCGGCAACAACTTCTAGAACGACCTGGGTCAGCCACCCAGAGACTACTATCGTTCAAGGGCTGTCCTTTGCGACTTAGTGCTGTTGATAACTAATTCTACTGCTAAAGGAAAATGCCGCGCTGCTACAGCTGGCTCTCACAACGGCCGTGGATGTGCACTTCAGCCGTGGGACTGACTAGGTCAGCACCGGCCGCTGTCGCGGCCTCCGCCACGGGCCTTCGCCTTGTGTCAACTGAGATAATAACATCTTTTTCCATCTCTCTCCTCAATGCCTCGACCACTGGCACCACGCGCTGTATTTCAGAGTGTACCGACACTTGCTCTTGCACGAAAGGGTTTGTTGCCTCTCCCCCCACATCAACGATGTCAGCGCCGTCGTCCCTCATTCGCCGAGCATGCCTTAATGCAGCCTCCACATTGTCGTAGTACTTTTGGCCGTCACTGAAGGAGTCGGGAGTAACATTGAGGACCCCCATCAATCTGGGTGAGCGTCGCTCCCGCAAAAGAAAACGCTTGAGGGAAAGGAGGGGCCCAGCAAACGCAGGCAAGTTTGGATCCTGCTGATCACAGTTGTCCCCAAGCCCATATCTTGTCAGCACTTCTTCAATCCATCTAAGTGTGTCTGAAACTGCAGATTCTGTACCCCCCTTTACTGTCCATAACTGGCGGTTATTGACTGCGAAACACCTGCGGGGAATCGCAAGGTTGCCGTCAAGGGTGTAGGGCGATTTGGGGTTGAGCTTTACAGCTGCATCAGAAGTTTCTGCTGAACTTGATACGGAATGCCGCAACGCCTCCTCTCTGCGTCGCAAGTTCTTCAAAATCAAACTTTTAACTGTTTCCTTCTCCGTGGGATGCACCAAATCTGGCTTGATGTCGCACAGTGGGAAGAGGATGAAATTCCGCTGGGCCAGTCGAGGATGAGGCAGCGTCAGGTTGTCGGTATTTACCTGCATGCTGTCTGAATCTAAATTTTCAAATAGCAGAAGGTCCAGGTCCAATGCTCTGCGCAATCTGCCGGCTGTGGCCGACCGGTCTCTACCATGGTTTGCCTCTATGCGCTGCAAAGTTTCCAAGATTACTTGGGGGTCACTTGTATCTGTTTCGACGCGCACCACTGCGTTCAGATGAAGCGGAATCGACATGTCGTGTTCATCTCGGCTCCGATGATCCACGTCATAGCCAGGAAGCGATTCGTACAAGCAGGAACAGGCGTCAAGGGAGCCGATTTCTCTCCGAATGCTTGAAAGAGCGCTTTCTAGTATACTAAGCCGCCTTTCACCACCCAAATTCGTCCCCATGGAGATATAGGCCACTGGGCGTTTGGGTCGTGCGGAGTCGCCGGAGGACGCAGTAGTCACGCCACGTACAAACCGGCGTACGCTGTAGCTGCGGCCATTTACAAATGAAAAACACCTTTTGTAAAAGCATTGAAGCGACGTGCAGGAATTGGCTAAATGAAACATTCTGGCTGCGTGAACACAAAATACTTCATACCACCAGAGTCTGGTTGAGGTTGTGGTGTGCGCACGCAGAATCCCATACAAACGAAAATCTCATTGATATTTTAAAAATAAATCTGTTCAACAAATCACAGAACTCATTCGAAGCAGGAGTTCCTGATTCAATGTGGAACCTTGCAGGGCTACAGGAACGCACTGTGAGAAGAGGCTTTGCATTCGCATGCATATATGACCATGTCTTGAATTTTCCCACCGTTTGAGCTGGTATATCACAATAAAATTACACAATGATAAAGGATATCCTGTGTGCATCTACTGTAGTGATTTAATTCGGACGTATTGGATCAGTCGTCATGACAGACTGCACCTTACACGTCTCGATCCAATAGACACAGTGCTCGGGAGAGTGGACCAGCTCCGCCACATTGCCTGCAAAGCTTGACCTTCAATTTCATCATTAGTCTATGCTTCTTCTTATACATAAACATAATATTTTTAATGATATTCTTTTTCGCCTGGTCGCATCTTCATCGCGCTCTCGACGTTCCACCCATTTACAAGCCTAGAGCGTTCCGCCACTCACTGTCGCGGAAGGCTGAACACGCGCTGCATTCTTATCAATCCAGTAGAAACTAGCCCAAGAAATCAATTGGACACTAATTATGTAGTTGGTGGTGACCAGTTTACGTGCCAGGAATCCCGAAAGACGAATCTGGAGTGTCCGCACACTTGAATTAGCATGTTTCATCCATTTCGTTATGCTGGCTTAGATTGCATCCCAAAAGGATTTTCTGTAATGATTCACAACGCATGTGTATTTGTTGTCGCGTAGTTGCTGGCAGAATCTTTTAATCTGGGTTGACCGAAGTATTTGCCATGATTGAGGAATCTAACCGAACAAGTTTCCATTTAGCTAAGCATTTCTCCCGCAAGTTGTGCCAGCTTCGCCTCGTAAGTTAGACATGTAATGAGATAAGGATCTCTGCTGCATTATTTTAGTGCGTTGTTCCGAAGCTGCGGAACTGCTGTACGAGTGGAGGTTACCTCGTTTTGAGCATGAACTGTTGGCCCAGACTATACTGTCGAAGAGCCCATTTCAACGAGACATTTTTCTTGTAGAGAACCAAGGAACAGCAGACGCTGGGCTGAAGCCATTAGAAAAAAAAGGCCAAGGAACAGAGTGCTCTGCAGATGAATGTTAGTATCATTTGAAGTAAATCTCTTTCCATAGCGCGAGCATCCTCACGAAAACACGACTTAGAGGTCAATAATAGATGAATTATCCTGGAACGAACTGGAAGAGCATTTTCTAACGCATTGCCGCCCTTACGACTGCTAGACCTACACAAAAGTTCAGCTGCAAACGCCGTAGGTAACATCACAAGCAGAACGTAAGGATCCTGTAAGGCAAAGGAACAACACCCCTTTTGATTCCTCCACAGCAACGCAGTGCTGCGGGAAACAACAAATTTGCTCACTAGTGACGACGATGGCCGTTCCGAAGACTACCATGTTCGTACCACACACCTTGTTAAAACATGGAAAAAAATTTGACCGGCCCTCCAATGCATACACAAGCAACGACATCGCGACGAATAAAGCCCACATGGACAGAACATCAAAAATCGTCCAGTGGGGCAGCAGAGTTTGCCCTGGTCAGGAGTCCCGCAACTATAACCTAACAAGGTGGTGGATAAAATTATAAACAAGGATACCTCCCTTGAACAGACAAAAACGAGTTCGCCTAGTCAATAACGCTTGTACTTCTGACAAATCAAACGTGGCGTAAGACTATAGTCCATCAACATGCATTCCTGCATGTACTATATCCAGACAAACCCTGGCAAAACTGTGCAAATAAGAAGCTAGCTGTCAGTCTTCAGTTTTATCGCCTTCAAATCGTATGCCTGAAACAGTGTTTAGCGTAATGAAACAGACAACAAGTAGATGTTGAGGTCGCTTGGCTGCGGCGTTCCTGATGTTTGCACTGCTCGGACAGCCCCATTTGTTGCGCTGACACTATTTTGTCAGCGTCAACTCAGTACAAGCAATGCGAGAGAGAAAATTATGGCAGCAATGCTGGGCACCGCAGTGGTTGCAGAGCCAGCTTGTCGGTTCAAGAGGGCGGTGTAAAGTTCAGTTCTGCAAACAGCAAAGAGTTTCCACCAGAAGTGTGCTGTGTGCTGTGTCTCGATTCTATTTCTCATGAGCTTTTGTTCTCCAGCTCTCTTAGAAAATAACGTAGTGGGTGCACGCGAGCAGCAGTAAGTGCGGCCTGTTCCCGCCATGTGTCGCAAAACGCTTACGTGAAAGGCTTGTCATCCGCAGTAAGTGACGGTGTAAACTGACAAAACAATACATTGGAGCCCGCTTTGCAGTTGGTGGTAACGGCACAGGAGGCTTTTCTGCTATCTTTCCACATCACGTATGCAACATTGCTGGCCGCAACAGAATTGAATGGAGGCTTTGTAACATCGAAAGTGCCAGTAGCCGGATCAAAACTGTCCCTGCGCATAGATAAATCATTCGTCAGAGGACGATTGAAAGCAAGCAGCCAGAGAGAAAACACAAGCTATGGAACCGCTGAAATATACAGCACCTGGCGTCTTTGTTATCTGCGGTGCTAAGGAATAAGCAAAGCGGAATCGCTTCAACAACAGCTGTGAAAACTCCACGCAAACACATAAAAATACTGTCAGGGGTACTTAAATTCACGAACGCGTGAGACGATACACATGAAAAAATGCAAGAATTGGTGAAACGGACTTCTGCATGAAACTCAGTCCGGCAGCAAAGTGACCCTGGATCAAAGATGCGCAGTCGAATGCTGTGGAATGCTCAAATGGAATAACCAATCCGTGATACTGCAGCAACACCAACACAACAGCATCAAGCAGTAGAACGTGCTGACAAGAGGCCAGATCAACCCTACACTTCCATCACATCTCGTGCAAATAGGAAACGATTCTAAAGCAGCGCAACCAAAAAGCTACTGTGCTCTTCTTGTCTGCTTCAGTGGGCCGTCGCAAGTCACACTTTGTTTCCATTAGCCGATGATCCCGATGCACAAGTGGCTGCGTCTGTCCCCGCAAGTGCTTTTGCTATTTCTATGGCAGTTGTTGGTGTTTCACTTCCTGCTTCGCCGTTAGCAGAGCTGTCAGAAACTGCACTTGGGCTTGATGCTCCAAAATCTGCTGGCTCAAGGGCTTCTACCATCTCACCATTAAGGTTTAGCATACGTAAAATGTTCATGGTGGGTAGGCAAACTGAGTAAAAATACATGGCAGGCTTGTCATAATGGCGACGAAATTCTATAGTAATGCGCTGATTTAATTAGCTATAATTGTATCTAATTGTATCCATTTGCCCAGCCATTTGTTCTCGGAGAAACAGGCAGACTCGTTGCGAAGTGCCACATTTACGAAAGCTGACCAAGCCCTCGGAGGTGGCACACTGAAACTAAACGGAGGGAAGATATAGAACAAAAATACCCAAAGACGTTTGCACAACAAGCTTCGTGGGACTAGCTCAGGACCACACTTGCCGCCCCTCTCTCAAATTCACCTATAGTTGCATCTTTAGCTTCAATCGCTTCTGCTTCTCGAGAAAAAGCAACCGTTGCTCCCAGGCTACTTTGGTTGGGGCTGCTAGTTGGAGAGGGACGCGGCTGTGCAGCTGAAAATTGCGGTGCAGTTGCCCCCGCAAACAGAGCAGCGCATAAGGCAAACCTGATGAAATGGGACATGTTGAGAAGCACTTCAAATGAAAAGACGGAATAAATAGGAGAGCAGACCGACTTCATAGAATGCGAAGGATGGAAAACACGAGGTGGGAACGTCGGGTGGAAATGGTTATCTAGTGATATGGCAGACCATCGGTGCAAAAGTCTTTGCCTTTCTAATAAAGCGGAGCAGAAATCACAGTTCCAATTTTTAAACAATTATTCATGCTGGACTGCGCTATATTTAGCTGATCCATGGGGCTATTTGTCACTACAGAAAGGTGCGCCACTGGCCCCCAGGTCGCGGAATCGCCACAGGTGCAGCAGCAAGATCGAGTGAACGCATGTCTGCTGTGAAGTTGGTGAAATTTTGAAAAAAACGAGCAGGTAATAAGTGCCTAGGAGAGGCCTTGTTGAAAGGTTGGCGTGCAGTGTAAGTTGAGTTAACCGCATCAGGCCACGTCCGATTCAGGGCCACGGGAAGCAGAGATGCAGAGGTGAGCCGCAATATCACCCAATAAGCGGACATAGGCTTTGTAATTCTGCAAAATTTGTTGCTTGAGGACCTTCGTCTCACCGGATAATGCTCGTAAAGTAGATGTGCTAAGTAAAGACACGATGTGGGTGTTTGCACACGTGACGGACCATTATTGTTTTCCGTTTCGATCACCTCCTACGACTCAAATAACAACTAAACATCTTCCACGGTTGAAAAAACTGGCATTCGTCAAAAGTATAACATTTTTCACGGTCAACAGTGGGCAAGGCTGGGCACATTTTACTGCCTCCTTGAGAGTTATCGCATAGCCTCGGCGGTCGATACACCAAAACAGACCCAGATGTTTCATCTCCGCTATCCTTGGGTTATGCTCGGAAGCCGATCATTAGAAGATATTCTTTAGCTTGTTTTCTATGTTAAGCGTTCGATAAAACCCTAACACGGCATCGTTTTCGCCGAAGTTGAGGCGAGATCCTGTGTACAGGGAAGCTGATGGTGAAAACTGGCAGGGAGCCCTGAACTTCATCTGAATCGAAAACTGCAATAGACTCCTTAGTTCGACTTAGATATTGGTCTGTTGCTGCTTCGTCTAGATGCAGAATATAGGAGAGGCTCTCTGGACCAGTCTTTCTTCCAGCTCCCAGAGGGGTTCCTCACGAGTGCTTTTACAAAGTTTTGTAAGAAACTGCCGAATCATTTCCTGGACAAGAACTTCAGCCAGATCGCGATGAGCAAATGAAGCGTCATGGGGTGATGAGCCTTCGCTTAGATTTTTAACTCACGCTGTGCTCAGAGAAACTACTGCACACAATAAAAGAAAAGGAGGAAAGCCGGAAAGCGGAAGAGGCCGCCATGCTGTAGGATGGATAACACTATATTTTCCGATATTTGTAGTTGTTTTACCCCACGAGGGAAAGAACAGTGATCTTGAGAAGTAAAAGAATTGCAACGAATCTGTTGACTGCATTTAGTTGCTTATTCCAGGTTGCCAATTCATGTAGGCAAAACTCATATACTTTCTCCCATGATCAGCTGCTTTGTCTAAAATATTGCATAAGCAGCCATTTTTTATGGCACGGAGAATGCAAGCAGTGCCCGCCTTGCAGAGAACACTTTAGATAGGTGTAAGGAATTTGATGGAAAATGCCATGTGCGCAGCGGTTTCCAAAGATGTCGGGTATTGCAAAAATATTTGAGGAAAGTGCTTGGATCTGCCACACACGATAGAGCGGCAGCCAGAATTTGAAGATGAAAGATACAGTGGACGGTAAAAAATCTGCCATATGAATTAAATACTCCTAGAGGTGAAAGTGCTCCAACAATAAGCAGTCATTCAATCACAACTTTTGCATTGCCTATGCTCCTTCAGTGCCATCTCAGTCAGATTTTCCCAGAAGAAAGTGCGCTACAATTGCATGCAACTATCTGTAGTGCTTCTTCGCGCAGACTGTCATATGAAAATGCGGTGCAGTTCCTTCTTTGCAGAAATATTGTGGAGTCCACAATTGTGCCCAATTACATCTTCCGGTGGTTAATGAAGAGCCGAAAGAAGGGCAGCGCTGGCCTTCATGCAAGCATAGCGAAAAGAGCCGTAAAGGCCACTGTAGAACGAGACGCCAGTCAAAAGCAAATTCAACCTTAATCACGTAGGTAGTGAGAAGAAGTGAGCACGCTTGGGCGTGTAAGTGAAGGCTGTAGAAACGTAGAGCGCCATAGGCTTTAAAGCTACGCGATCTGCCGTTGAGGACCCCCCCTACAGAAAAACACGTGAAGGAAGTTCAGTTTTGCTTCAGAGCGAACGAAGGGAAACGCTGAAATCATGCTGCAATAAGTAAAAGTATATTCTCATCTAGCTTTTCGCACAAGTGCGGGTTGAGGTTCCCTCGGCCATTAGCCAACCCTTGCCATCCAGTGAATGTTTCAAAATTAGTGCAAGAACAACGAGCTAGGACCCATTTAGCTGCTACACGTCTGCTTTCAAATTGTCTTGAGGCTGATGTTTCGTGACTGTCAGCAGCATCGTAATGAAGAATGCGGAATGCAAGGCATGGGGTGTCCCAGACAGAGCCAGCAAGGACTGATATCAACGGGACTGCAACGTAAAACTTACAGGGAGGAGCAGCGCAACAGATGAGTACCTTAGGCAACTGTTGCGCAGCAACTCACAGCGTGGGCCATGACAAGTACGTCCAAGTTCTTTGAAAGCATTTCATCGCCTCTTAGCGTTTCCCCGTTATAGTGAACCGTGTGTTAACAAGAAGAGGCTGTTAGTGCCTGGGATAGGGATACTGATGTTCAGGTGGTACAACTGTTAGCGGCAATACCAGCATACAAAGAGGCCCGCCACGACTACACCATTCTGGGCCACGTCCAAGCAAAAGTTGCGTTGCACGCAGAACAGCTAGGCTTAGTATGCCACTGTTTTATTTCACCATAGGAGGGGTTTGACTTCACATGTGTGCTGCAGGCCAAATTCATTGTTCATAGCCTCATTTGGGCGTTTCCTACAGGCCTGCGTGGAAAACGCTTGTTGCGTCTTGAGGGAACGAATACAAAAAGAAAGTGATGTACGCGTGTTACGCGTATTCGAAGCAAAAAGTGGGACAACAAGGTTCAGAAAACGAAAATTGGAGTCTTGGCATGACGCCAATTATCCTTAGATAATATAGGAAAAGAGGAAAGCTTTAGAAGAGAAGTAAAAGTAGGAAAATGGCAAGTTTCGCTGCGAATCCAGACCCAAAGGCCTTATTTGTTACACGTTTGAAGCGCCACGCCGGAAAAGGCGTCGTCCCGAAGGGATCCCCACCTGTGGCATCTCTTCTGCTGCGCCCTTCCCGCTGTTACCACATGCTTGCCAAAATTAACTCAACGAAAGGAAGGCAACGCAGAAAAATGCTGTGGCAATGCTGGTAAGTTCAATGGACGATGAACCCGCCTGCCGCTGCAAGAGAGCCTCATACAGTTCAGTCCTGCAGTCAACAGCATGCATCATCGGCCACTGAAGGCTAGGATGTTTCATGCAGAGCCACTGTGCCATCCTGCCTTCTGCTCTTGCATACTTGTCTGGCGTTTCGTTGAAAGTGAACGTCTGCAGTATGCAAAAATGTAGCAATGTGTATCGGTGGGAGGAAGCGAACTCACGTGAAAGGCTTGTCTTTCGATGTGATTGACTCTACAAAACGGCAATACAGAACGTTGTGACCGGCCTGGCAGTTTTTCGTGACGGCACAGGACGCTGTCTTGCTTTTGCTCCACATGATGTTGGCAACATTGCTGGCCGATAAATTATCAAAGGGGGCACTGCTTGTGTCATATGTGCCAGTCGCTGGATCGAAGTTTGACCTGAATAAACACCACATATTTGGTTACGGTCATAACAAGTTAAAAACGATGATGAGAAAATATGATGTGTGGATATTTCCGTGATTTTCGAGTTGTGACCTCGATCCTAGAAAACAAGAGAAACGCCGTCTTACAAACAGAGCTCCTGCACTCTCTAGACGGGTGTGCGAAGGACACAAGCTTGCAAGCTGAGTTCAAACAAGCAAACTGCAGACGGGGAAAGAGACGGACTCTTGTATATGGCTCAGTCCTGCGGCAAAGTGGCCCTGGATCAGCGATCCACAGTCAAAGGTTGTGGAGTATTCAAAAGGAATCACAAGCCCAGTATACTGCAATAAAACGGAAACACACGATCAGATACCACTCATATACACAGGCGAATAGGTTTATGCTCTTGTTATGTAATCAGTTTCAGACATATCCTGTCTAGTGAAGCCCGCATAGAAACCCATACCGTTTTTGCGTTCGCCGTAGCTCCTGCTTCACACTTATCCGCACTGGTCCCCGCCAGTTCTTTTGCAATCTCAAGTGCAGTCTTTGATTTTGTATCCACCGCTTCCTCTTCTTCTTCTTCTTCTTCACTAGGCGTTTTTGTCTCTGGTTCGAGTGCCTCTAACGCATGGTCACGAAGGTTAAGCACCCTCAGCATGTTCATGGTGGGCAGACAAGCTGAAGCGGCCCAGAAATGACACGCAAAATCAAGCAACCTGTGAAAAGATTCCTGAATCAGACCTTCGAAGGTTACTTAAGAGATTATCCTCAGAGTTTCGCGGGCCCAAATAAAGTTTTACACCAGCGGGAAAAGTTGCGGAGAAGGTGTTGTAAAGTCCAAATACACGGGAAAATATATTAGCACCATGAAAAGGTCAACATGCCGAAAAGTACATGAATAAAGACACTGGGATGTCTAGTACCGTCTAGCAGTTCCCAAGCAGGTCACCTATAGTTGCGTCCTCGGCCTCTATAGCCGTTGTAGCAGCTTGAATCAAGGCACTCCCTGTATCAATGACGTCATAATGGGGATTAGTGTTGGCAGAGCGAGTGATGACTGCAGCTGAGAAGTTGGTTGGGGCTGCTCCAGCGAGCAGGCCAATATAGCACGTTAAGAGACCGGGCCGATACATGGTGGGCAGCAAATGAAGCAGATGAGAAAGAACTACGAGCAAAGTCAGCAGAATGAGTAGGAGAAATGAGGGCAGAGAGCGACTTGCCAGTGAAGGAAATTAGGACCCAATGGGATGAGCTGTGTGTTACACAGCGGGGACAGCATCCACCCTTGTTTTTGTCGTATCGGCAGTTCCGCTCCTCCAAGCATAAGCACTGTGGCTGCCCTTCCGCTGACCAGAAAACTTCTAACATGTACTTTAAGATTTAGGTGCTGAATTTCAACTTCCTTTTGATGCCCGTAAGCTGGCTTGTCGATTGCGTGGAAACCAGTCGGCACGCATGCCACACCGTGGCAACACCGACGTAGTTAGCTGTCAAATTAAAATGAAATAATTGATTATACTGCATCAGGCCACTTTTGATAAGGAATTCAGTGTAAGGAACGCAGAGATGAGCCACATTCCCAGCAGTATGCAGAGAGAGGTTTTGTAAGTGTACGAACCTCGCAGCTTGAGCACACAAGGTAAAGGGGGCAGAGATACGTCATATTCCCACCCAGAGATAGGTTTTCAAATTCTGCAGAGCTTGTAGTTTGAGGGCCATTTTCAACCAGATAATGATCTCAGACTGGATCTGCATACTGAAGACACAATGTGAACGTTCGAATCCGTGAAGGACCATTACTGGCCTCCGCTTCAGTTGCTTCCTTGAACTGGCATCACAACTAAACAGCCCCCATGGTTAAAAAGTGGCACTCATCAAAATTGTTGCGTTTTTCATGATCAACGGCCAGCGAGGCTGGGTACACTTTCGTGCCTCCTTTGGAGGTACCGCAGAGCATTGCCGATCGATACATCGACACAGCATGATTCATCTCCACCGTCCTTTAGGTAGGTACGCTGCGAAGCCCATCTTTACTAGCTGTAAATCTTTGTTTAAAATTAAAAAACCTATCTTTGCGTATTGGGTGGGAATGCAGCTCATCTCTGCTTCCCTTATCCTGCTCGCTCAATGGGATGTGGCCTTCTTCATATACGTTTTCACTTCACCTTGCTTTCTGTACTCAATCCTTGACAAAGCCCCAGCACGACATCATTCTTGAAGCCGGAATGCGGCCCTGTGTACAGTGCTGAGAACTAACAAACAACCACTAGCTTCGTATGAATGGAAAACCGAAGTAGATTCCTTAGTTCGACTCAGATAGTGATCTGCTACTGCTTTGTCTAGGTGCAGATTAGAGGAGAGTCTTTCTGGAGCAGTCTTTCTTCCATGGCCCATAGCGAGTACCTAACAAGTATTTTTATTGGGAAATTTTACAAAAAAATACCGTGAAACGTATTCTTAGAGAAGTGCTCCAGTCAGATCGCGGTGGGCAATTGCAGTGTCATGGGATGGCGAGCCTTTGCCTAAACTTTCAACTCACGCTGCGCCAGCAGAAACTACTGTTTCTCTTGACTGCATTTCATTGTGTGTTTCAGGTTGCCAATCCATGTAGGCAAAACAAAGCTACTTTCACGCATGATCAGCTGCTCTATCTGCAGTGTTGCATCGCCAGCCATTTAATTTGATGGTACACAGAATACAAGCAATGCTCGCCTTGCAGAGAGCACTTTAGCTAGGTGTTAGGAGTTTGATGGGAAATGCTATCTGCACAGTGGCTCCCAAAAATACCGGGCGTTCAAAACACATTTGGGGACCGCGTTTAGGTGTGCAACACGAGAGAGAGCTACGCCCAGCATTTGAAGAGGAAAGATACAGTGGAATCATTCAATCACAACTTCTGTGCCCTTCCAGTCGGATTTCCCCAGAAGAAAGTGCGCTACAATTGCATGCAACAGGCTGGCCATAGTGTTTCTTTGCATAGATCTTCACATGAAAGTGCGGTGCAGTTTTTTCTGTGCCGATGTATTATGGAGTCCAAAATCGTGCCCCATTAAACCTTTCGGCCGGTTAACGTAGAGCCAAACGAAAGTCGGCACTGGCCTTCACGCAAAGCATAACGGAAAGAGCCGTAAAGGCCGTGGTAGAGCCATGGGCTATTCAAAAGTAGATTCAAATACACCTTAATTACTTAGGTTACTTAGGTAGTGAGAAGAAGTGAGCACGCTTGGGCGTGTAAGTGAAAGCTGTAGAAACCTAGAGCGCCATAGGCTTTAAAGCTACGCGATCTGCCGTTGAGGACCCCCCCCTACAGAAAAACACGTGAAGGAAGTTTAGTTTCGCTTTAGAGCGAATGAAGGGAAACACTGAAATCGTGTTGCAGTAAGTAAAAGTATCTTCTCACCTAGCTTTTCGCATAAGTGCGGGTTGAGGTTCCCTCGGCCATTACCCAACCCTTGCCATCCAGTGAGTGTTTCAAAATTAATGCAAGAACAACGAGCTAGGACCCACTTAGCTGCTACCCGTCTGCTTTCAAATTGTCTTGAGGCTGATGTTTCGTGACTATCAGCAGCATCGTAATGAAGAACGCGGAATGCAAGGCATGGGGTGTCCCAGACAGAGCCAGCAAGGACTGTTATCAACGGGACTGCAACATAACACTTACAGGGAGAAGCAGCGCAACAGATGCATACATTCGACGGTTGTCGCGCAGCAATTCACAGCGTGGGTCATGACACGTGCGTGGAAGCCGTTTGAAAACATTTCACTGTCTCCTAGCTTTCCTCCATCACAATCGACCGTATATTAACAAGCTGTTGTCGCCGCAGATAGAGGCACGCTTGTCCAGATGGTATAGCTGGCATCGGCGATACCAGCATAGAAAAAGGCTCCCCACGGCTACACCAATGTGAGATGTGCCCAAGCACAATTTGCACCAGACGACTTTTAGGTGGCTTAGAGCGTTGGTGAGTCAATACTTGTGAGCTGCATATATTCGTAAAACTTTCGGCCGCAGAAGAATTACAGAGGGCGAGAGCAGTGTCACTTGGGACTTTCCCAACTTTGGCGCGATTAGTTTGGGAATTAACCTGCCTTGACTAGTTTAATTGTCAGCAAAGCGATCATCAGGGCCTCTGAAGAAGTCCGCTGCCCACGGCTTGGAGACCTATATATACATATATGTTTCTGTGCGAATTCGCAAAACAGCTAGGTTTGGGGTGCCAGAGTTGTGAATATCCACAGTAGTCCAACTTTATGTGCGTGCTGCAGGCCTAATTCACTGTTCATCGCTTCATTTGGGTGTTTCTCACAAGCCTGCGTGGAAAATCTTTGTTGCGCTTTGAGGAAAAGGATTGCTGAAGGAAAAATTGATGCACGTGTATTACGCGCATTCGAAGTAAAAGGTAGAACAATAGGGTTCAAAGAATGGAAGTTGGAGGCTTGGCATGACGCTAATTCTCCTTAGATAATACATGCGCAGAGGCAGAATTTAGAACGGAAGCAAACCCAGGAATATGACAAATCTCGCTGCGAATCGAGACCTAAAGACCTTCTTCGGCACACTTTTGAACTACCGTGCCGGTGAAGGCATCGTCACAGTGAAAGGATTCCGACCTCCTGCATCTCGTCTGCTGGGTACTTCCTGCCGTTGCCATATGCTTGACAAAATTAACTCAACAAGAGCAAGGCGGCGCAGAAAAATGTTATGGCAATGCTGGGAAGTGCAATGGATGATGAACCCGCCTGCCGCTGCAAGAGAGCCTCATACAGTTCAGTCCTGCAGTCAGCAGCATGCATCATCGGCCACTGGAGGTCACGAAATTTCATGTCGAGCCTTTGTGCCTTCCTGCATTCTGTTCTTGCATACCTGTCTGGTTCTTTGGTCAAAACAAATGTCGGCAATCTGCAAAAGTGTAGCAACGCGTATCGGTGGGAAGAAGCGAACTCACGTGAAAGGCTTGTCTTTCGATGTGATTGGCTCTACAAAACGGCAATACAGAACGTTGTGACCGGCCTTGCAGTTTTTCGTGACGGCACAAGACGCCTTTGTGCTTTTGCTCCACATGATGTTGGCAACATTGCTGGCCGATAAATTATCAAATGGGGCTTTCCCAGTGTCATACGTGCCTGTAGCCGGGTCGAAGTTTGATCTGGGTAAGCGACGCATATGGCAAATAAGACGTGGAAAGGGATGGCCAAAAAATGAAAAGAAGAGTTTTCCGTGATTTTGGTGCTGTGTCCGCGATACTAGAAGACAAAAGAAAAGTCATGCTTCGAGCAATACACGTCAATTCTCCACACGATTGCGGGATGGACACAAACTTGCAACCTGAATTGAAACGAGCAAACTACATAACAAAAAAGGAAAGAGACAGACTCTTGTATATGGCTCAGTCCTGTGGAAAAGTGACCCTGGATCAGCGATCCACAGTCAAAGGTTGCGGAGAATTCGAAAGAAATCACAAGCCCAGTGTGCTGCGGTAAAACGACACCACACGATCAGATAGTACCTATGCATACGCACAAATAAGACTATGGGTTTCTAATCATTGCCGGACATATCTCGTCTTCTGCAACTGACATAGAAAGCCATACTGTTTTTGCATCCGCTGTCGCCCCCTTCTCACAGGTCTCCGCAGCGGTCCCTGCTAGTAGTTTTGCGATATCAGCAGCTGTATTTGATTTTGTAAGCTCCTCTTGATCTTCTTCTCCTTCTCCTTCTTCTACACTTGCTCCTCCTGTCTCTGGTTCGAGGGCCTTTAACGCCTGATCACGAAGGTTAAGCACCCTCAGCATATTCATGGTGGGCAGACAAGCTGAAGCGGCCCACAAATGACACACCAAATCGAGCAAATTGTGAACAAATTCGCTAATCATATCTAGACAGATTACTTAGGAGATGACCACCAGACCTGTGCTGGCCCAAGTGAAGCTATACACGAGAGGGAAAAGCTGCAGAGAAGGCATGGTAAAGTAAAGTCTAAATATACAGGCAAATATGCAGGCACCTTAGAAACGCCTATTCTCCCGTGCAGGTCACCTGCAGTTACGTCCTCGGCATCTATAGCCGTTGTAGCAGCTTGAATCAAGGCACTCCCTGTATCCATGATGTCATAATGGGGATTAGTGTTGGCAGAGCGAGTGATGACTGCAGCTGAGAAGTTGCCTGTGGCTGCTCCAGCGAGCAGGCCAATGTAGCAAGTTAACACACCGGGCCGATACATGGCGGGCACCAAATGAAGCAAATGATTATGAACTGCGAAAAAAGCCGGCATAATGCGTAGCAGAAATGAGGGCAGAGAGCGAGTTGCCAATGAACGAAATTAGGACCCAGTGGGATGAGCTGTGTGTTACACAGAGGGGACAGGGCTCCCCCTAGCTTTTATCTGACTGCCAGTTCTGCTCGTTGAAGCATAAGCACCGTGACTGCCCTTCTGCTAAGCATAAAATTCCTTGCATGTACTTACTTTAAGATTCTTCTGATAAATTAGAACTTCGTGGTGATGCTCTTAAGCTGCCTTCTCGATTGCGAGGATACCAGTCGGAATGCCTCTAGTCACAGTGTAGGAACATCGACCTAGTTAGCTCTCCAAATGAAATGAAATAGCCGACTAAAATGGATAAGGCAGCAAGTCCAATAGAGAACTCAGGGTAAGAGAAGCAGAGATGAGCCTTATTCTCAGCCAATATGCAGAGATAGGATTTGTAATTAAACGAAATTTGTAGCTTGAGGCCGCACAGGCAGAGCCACGTCCCCAGCCAATGTGCAGAAATAGGTTCTGTAGTTGCGCAAAATTTGTAGCATAAGTTCTGCAGTCAACGAGATAATGCTCTTAGAGTGGATCTCTACAGTATAGACACAATGTGATCGTTTCGCACATGTGATGGACCATTACTGGTTTCGGTTTCAGTACAACTCACATCACAACCTAACACCTGCTGCGGCTGAAAACTTGGAGTTCTTCAAAATTATTTGTTTTTCATGATCAATTTCAAGCGAAGCTGGAGACATTTTCTTGCTTGCTTACGAGTTGCCGTAGAGCATTGGCGGTCGATACAGCAAAACAGTTCAGTCACACAAGCTTCGTCTGCAAGGTCCTTCGGGAAGGTGCGCTGGCAAGCCCATCTATGCTAGCTACAAATTCTGTAGAATTACAAAACGTATCGCTGCATATTGGGCAGGAGTCTGGCTCATCTATACTCCCGTTAACCTGCTCCCTCAACCCGACGTGGCCTTGTCTATATACTTATTCCGTTCTGCTAAATCTTCGACAAAACCCTAACACGAGGTCATTTTTGCCGAAGGTGGAACGCTAAGTGCAGCGCAGGTGATGCTGATAACTAGCAAATACCCCTAAACTGGATGTGAATGCAAAACCGAAATATATTCGAGAGTTGAACAGCGTTGTTGATCTGCTGCTGCTAGGTGCAGCTTAGAGGAGAGGACTTTTGGAGCGAGTTTTCTTCCAGGGCCCATAGTGGCTCCTTCCGAGTGCTTTTATTGAGAAGCTTTGCAAGAAACAGGGAAATCTTTTCTTGCACAAGAAATTCAGTCAGAGTGCAATAGGTGATTAAAGTGGGATACGGTGACGAGCGTTTGCTTAAATCTTTAACTCACGCTGTGCCCACAGAAACTACTGTTGCTCTTGATTGTATTTCATTGCGTATTTCAGCTTGCCAATCCGTGTAGGCAAAAATTATCTACTTTAGGCCATAATCGCGTGCTCTGTCTGAAGTGTCGCATTGCCAGTCAATTAATTTAATGGCACGAATAATACGGCCATTTAATTTGATGGCACGGAGAATGCAAACAACGCTTACCTTGCAGAGAGCCCTTTAGCTAGCAGTTTGGAGTTTGATCGAAGATGCAATCTAAATGGCGGTTCCCAAAGACATCGGACGTTCAAAAAGTAGTTGGGAACAGTGCTTGATGCTGCCACAGGAGATAGAGCGATGGCCAGCATTTGAAGGTGAAAGGAACAGTGGAATCATTCAGTAACAACTTCTGTGTTGCCTCTGTCCCTCCAATGCCCTTTCAGTCCGATTTACCCCAAAGGTAAATACACTACATTTGCATGCAACTATCTGTTCTATTTCTTCGAGTAGACTGTCACATGAATGCGCAGTGCAGTTTATTCCATGCGAAAGGATTTTGGCCTCCACAGTCGTGCCCCATGTTGTCTTCGGGCTGGTTAATGAAGAGCCAAAGGGAGGCCAGCGCTGGCCTCCATGCAAACATAACGGAAAGAGCCGTGAAGGCAATGATAGAGCCACAGGGTAGTCAAAAGCAAATTCAAATACACCTTAATTACGCAGGTAGTGAGAAGAAGTGGGCAAGCTTGGGTGTGTAAGTGAAAGCTGTAGACACATAGAGCTCCATAGCCTTTGGCTTTAAAGCTACGGGATTTATCACTGAGGATCCCCCTGCAGTAAACATGCGCAGGAAAGTTAGTTTCCTTTTAAAAGGAATGAAAGGAAAAGCTGAAATCGTCTTGCAATGGGAAGAAATGTGTCCTTTTACCTAGCTTTTCGCGCAGGTGCAAATGTAGCTTTCGGTGGCCATTACTCAACTGTAGCTATCCGGTGAGTGTGGGAACTGCGAGTTAAAACTCATTTAGTTGCAACCCATCCACTTCCAAACTGTCTTGAGGCTGATGCGTCGCAAATGTGTGCAATGTCGTAATGAAGAGTGCGAAATGCAAGACAGGGGGGCTTCAGAGAGGTAACCAAGATGTGACATAAACGGGACTGCGACATATAACTGTCAGGGAGGAACAGCCCAACAGAAGCCCACATCCGGAAGTTGTTGAGAAGGAAGGGCAAGGGCACGCATGAGAAGTGCGTGCAAATTCTTTGAAAGCATTTCGCTGCGTCTTAGCTTTGCCCCTTTGCAGTCAAAGATATTTTAAGAAGCAACACCTGCTGGTGCCTCAGATAGAGACGCGGATGCTCATGTGCTATAGCTGGCAGCGGTGATACTAGAATACAAAAAGGCTCGCCACGAATACACCAGTGTGAGACACGTCCACGCGAAATTTGCATTACACGAATTTTAGGTGGTTCAGAACATTGGCGAGTCAATATTTGTGAGTTGCAGGTATGCCTATGCAGTGGAATTAAAGACAGCGAGCACAGTTCTATTTGGAATTCTCCCATTCTTGTGCAAGTCATTTACGAATCGATCAGCCTTGTTCAGTTTGCTTCAAAACATTGTGCATAACATTTGTCGGGGCAGGGATAATCAGGGCCTCTGAAGACGACTACTGCTCACGGTTTGCAGACCTGTGCTGATATATACACGAGTCTATATATATATATATATATATATATGCATGTCTGCGTGTATTCGCAAAAAGCTAGGAGCATGATTTCACAGTTGTAAACTGTCGTGGAAGGGGCCCAGCTGTAGATGTATGCGGTACGCGTAATTCACTGCTCATTGCTTCATTTGAGCGTTTCCTACAAGCCTGCGTGGAAAATGTTTGTTGCGCATGCAGGGCGCGAATACCGAAATAGAAATTGATGTGCAGGTTTTCGAAGCAAAAGTTAGCATAATAGGGTTCAGTAAACGTGAGTCGGAGGATTGAAATAATGTTGATTCTTCTTAGATAACAAATGAGACGGCAGAATTTACAAGGGAAGAAATCCTAGGAAAAGGGCAAGTTTCGCTGCGAATCCAGACCCGAAGGCATTTTTGTTACACTTTTGACTCGCCTCGCCGGAGGAGAGGATGTCAGTGAAAGGATCCCGATCTGCGGTGTCTCGTCTGCTGGGTCCTTCCAGCTGTTGCCATACGCTTGACAAACTTAATTCAACAAGATCCAGGCAACGCAGAAAAGTGTTGTGGCAACGCTGGTAAGTGCATCGGACGATGAACCGGCCTGCCGCTGTAGGAGGGCCTCATACAGTTCAGTCCTGCAGTCAACAACATTCATCATTGGCCACTGAAGGTTACGAAGTGCCAGTTTGAGCCTTCTATCCCTCCTCAACTCTGCTCCTAGATTATTGTCGAGTTCCTCGGCCAGAGAAAAAAATTACAGGAGATATGGCGAACTCTATCGGCTGGTGGAAGCTAACTCACGTGAACGGGTTGTCTTGCGCTGTGATTGGCTCTACAAAACGACAAAACAGGACGTTGTGGCCGGCCCGGCAATTGTTCGTGACAGCACAAGATGCCGTTTTGCTTTTGCTCCACATGATGTTGGCAACATTGCTGGCCGATAAATTATTAAATGGGGCCTTCTGAATGTCATATTTGCCAGTCGCCGGGTCAAAGTTCGATCTGAGGTAAGCAAAACTTATTTTGTGATGGCACTAATGGGTCAAAAGGGTGACAAGAAAATGAGACTGGCCTACTTTCCTGTGAATGCCGAATTGTGAATGCGATACTAGATAACAAAAGAAACGTCATGCTGCAAACAATGCGAGCTAATTCTGTAGACGATTGCGCAATGGACACAAATTTGCAACCTGAATTCAAACACGCAAATTAAATAGCAAAGAAAGGAAAGTGGAAAGAGACCGACTCTTGTATATGGCTCAGTCCTGCGGCAAAGTGGCCCTGGATCAGCGATCCACAGTCAAAGGCTGTGGAGTGTTCAAATGGAATCACAAGCCCAGTATACTGCAGTGAAACACCAGCAAAAGATCAGATACAATTCATGCATACAGACGAATAGGTTTATGCTCTTGCTTCTAACCAGTTTCGGATATACCTAGCATACTGAAACTGGCTGTACCTCTTGTGCATTCGCCTTTGCTCCTGCGTCACAGGTATCCGCATCGGTTCCTGCAAGCGCTTTCGCAATTTCAAGCGCAGTCTTTGATTTTATCTCAGGTTCTCCGTCTTCTTCTTCGCCCACTCCTTCAGTCTCTGGTTCGAGGGCCTCTAACATCTGGTCACGAAGGTTAAGCACCCTCAGCATGTTCATGGTGGGCAGGCAAGCTGAAGCAGCCCACAAATGACACACGAAATCAAGCAAGCTGTGAAAAAGTTTACAAAGCAGACCTTTACACGTTACTTAAGAGGTGACTGTGCTGGCGAAAGTGGAGTTATGCACCAGCGGGAAAAGCTGCAGAGAAGGTGTGGTAAAGCCCAAATATACAAATGAATATGCACGCACCATGAAAAGATCAGCATGTCAAAAAATACATAGATGAAGACACAACTGACGGATGTTTAGTATCGTTCTCCCTTCCATCCTCCAGCTCACCTGTAGTTGCGTCCATGGCCTCTACAGTCGTTGCAGCTGCTTGAAGGAAAGCGGTTTCTGTTTCCAAAATGGCATAATGGGGATTAGTGCTGGCGGAGCGAGTGATGGCTGCAGCTGAGAAGTTGCCTGTGGCTGCTCCAGCGAGCAGGCCAATGTAGCAATTCAACAGACCGGGCCGATACATGTGGGTAGCAAATGGAGCAAATGAGGAGGAACTACTAGAAAATTCAACAGAAAGAGTGGGCTAAATGCGGTCAGAGACTGATTTTCCAAGGAAGGATACTAGGAACCAGCGGGGTGGGCGGTGTGTAACACAGCGGGGACAGCAGTCCCCCTTGTTTTTATCCGATTGCCAGTTTTGTTCCATGAAGCATAAACACTATGACAGTCATTCTTGTAACTATTAAGCTACTTACATCTGTTCTCAGATTTAGGTGATGAATTTCAACTTTATTTTGATGCCCTTAAGCTGTCTTGTCGACTGCCTGGAATCCAGTCAGAATGCCCATAGCCGTACCGTGGCAACACCGACCTAGCTAGCTCCCAACTAGAATGTAACAGCTGAGTAAACTGCACCGGGCCACGTTTCCTAAGGAATTAAATGTAAGGGAAACAGATATGAGCCACATTCTCAGCCAATATACAGAGATATGTCTCGTAATCATACGAAATATGTATATAGCCCGCACGGACAGAGATAAGCCACATTCCCACCCAATATACAGAAATAGGTTTGGTAGTTGTGTGAAATTTGTAGCATGAGGGCTTTTTTTAACCAGATAGTGCTGTCAGAGTGGATCTGTACAGTGAAGACACAATGTGATCGTTTCGCACACGTGATGGACCATCACTGGTCTCGGTGTGAGTCGCCACCTACGACTCACATCACAACTAAACACCTTCCATGGCTAAAGGCTTGAAGTTCTTCAAAATTATTTGTTTTTTATGATCAACAGTGAGCAAGGCTGGAAACATTTTCCTGCACGCTCACGGGCTGCCGCAGAACATAGGCTGTCGATACAGCAAAACAGTTCAGTTGCGCATGCTTATCTGCACAGCTCTTTAGACAGGTACGCTGGCAAGCCCATTTATGCTAGCTACAAATTTTGTAGAATTACAAAACGTATCTCTGTACATTGGGCGGGAATCTGGCTGATCCGTGCCCCCTCAATCGGACATGGCCTTGTGGATATAATTATTCACCTTGCTTCCCGTGCTAAATCTTCGACAAAACCCTAAAAAGGCGTCATTTTTGCAGAACGCTAAACGCGAAGTGCAGGCGATGCTGATAAACTGACAAACAGCTCTGAACTTGATCTGAATGCAAAACCGAAATAGCTTCGAAGAGTTAAACAGGGATATTGATCTGCTGCTGCTTTGTCCAGGTGCAGACTAGAGGAGAGGCTCTTTGAAGCGCGCTTTCCTCCAGGGCCCGTAGTGGCTCCTTCTGAGTGCTTTTACTGGGAAATTTTACAAGAAACAGGGAAATCTTTTCGTGCCCAAGAACTTCAGTCAGATCGCATATTGCAGTGCCACGTCACGAGCGTTTGCTGAAATCTTTAACTCGCGCTGTGCCCACAAAAGCTACTGTTTTGCCTGACCGCATTTCATTGCGTATATCAGGTTTCCAATCCATGTAGGCAAAACCCGTCTACTTTGGCCCATAATCAGCTGCACTATCTGACGAGTTGCATTGCCAGCCAATTAGTTTCATGGCACAGACAATGCAAGCAATGCTCACCTTGCAGAGAGCAGTTTAGCTAGCTGTTTGCACTTTGATGGAAAATGACATTTGCGCAGTGGTTTCCAAAGATATCGGGCGTTCAAAGAGTAGTTGGGAACAGCGCTTGGGTCTGCCCCACAAGATAGAGCGACGGCCAGCATTTGAAGATGAAAGATACACTGGAATCATTTAACCACAACTTCTGTGTTTTCTCTGCCCCTCCAGTGCCCTTTCAGTTAGGCTTTCCCCAGAAGAAGGCGCACTACATTTGCATGCAACTATCTATACAAGTTCTTCGCGCATATTGTCACATGAAAGTGCAGCGCAGTTTCTTCTGTGCCGATGGACTATGGAGTTCACAATCGTGCCCCATTACATCTTCGGGCTGGTTAGTGAAGAGCCAAACGAAGGTCAGCGCTGGCCTTTATGCAAGTACCACAGAAAGTGCTGTAAAGGTCGTGATAGAGCCATGAGCTAGGTAAAAGCACATTCAAATACACCATATTACTTAGGTAGTGAGAACAACTGAGCACGCTTGGACGTGTAGGTGAAAGCCTTAGAAACGTACAGCTCCATAGGCTTTAAAGCTACGGGATCTGTCGCTGAGGGCACCCCTCCAGTAAACATGCGAAGGAAGGTTAGTTTCCCTTAAGAGAGAATGAGAGGAAAAACTGAATTCGTGTTGCAATAGGTCAAAGTGTCCTTTTACCTAGCTTTGCGCGCAAGTGCGGGTATAGGTTTCTTAGGCCATTACCCAACCAGTTCCATCCAGTGAGTGCTTCGAGCAACGAGCTAAGACCCATCTAGCTCCAACCCACCTGCCTTCAAATTGTTCTACGGCTGGTGCTTCTTGACTGTCAGGAATATCATAATGAAGAGCGCAGAATGCAAGGCATGAGGCTTTCAGCCACCTAAAATTCGTGTAGCGCAGATTTTGCTTGGACATGCCTCACATTGGTGTAGTCTTGGCGAGTCTCGTTTGCCGGTATTATCGCAGCCAGTTGTACTATGCGGTCATTATTTCGCATCTTTTCCTATCTGAAGCACCAACAAGTTGTAATAGTTAGCACAACATTGACTGTAGCGGAGCAAAGCTAAGCGATGGTGAAATGCTTTTAATGAACTTGCACGCATTTGTCATGGCCCACGCTGTGAATTTCTGCGCAACAATTGCTAACGTATGGTGCTGTTGGGCTGCTCTTCCCTGTAAGTTATATGTTGCAGTCCCATTGATGTCAGACCTTGCAGGATACCTCTCTGAAGCGATGAGTCAATACTTAACGCGCTTTAGACATGCCTAAAACTTTTGGGTTCAGAGCAGCTGTAGACAGCGAGGGCAGTGCCATTTAGAGTACTTCCATTTTTGCGCAATTCACTTTGGGATGAATGTGCCTTGATTAGTTTGCTTCAAAACATAATGCTTAGCACTTTCTGGCGCAGGGATCACCAGGAACTTAGACGCCTGATGCCCACGGTTTGCAGAACTTTGCTGATGATCATATACGCGTCTATATATATATATGTGCCTTTGCGCCTATGCGCAAAAAAAACAAGGTTCAGGGTGTTAGAGCTCTAAATCGCCGTAGGACGGATCCAACTTTACATACGTGCTGCGGGCCGAATTGACACTGTTCATAGCTTCATTCGGACGTCTTTTACACGATTGCATGGAAAATCGACGTTGCATATTTGGGGGCATAACACCGGTAAAAACAATGATATACGCATTTTCGAAGCTAAAATTGCCACTGTAGGGTTCATTATACCAGAGTTGGAGGCTCACACAAGAACAATCAATACCCGGCATGACGCCAATCCCCCTTAGACAAGCGGTGAGCACGAACAGAATTAAAAATTGTAGCAAAACTAGGAAATTGCCAAATTTCGCTGCGAATTTAGACTCAACGCCTCGTCGATGGAAAAATCCCGTCCTGCGGTATCTCGTCTGCTGCGTCCTTCCCGCTGGTGCCATATGCTCGCCAAAGCTAACTCAACAAGAGCAAGGCGGCGCAGAACAATGTTGTGGCGCTGCTGGTAAATGCAATGGATGATGAACCGGCCTGCCGCTGCAAGAGAGCCTCATACAGTTCAGTCCTGCAGTCAGCAGCACGCATCGCTTTCCGCTGAAGGTTATGTGTGATGTGCCATATCGAGCGTCTCTGCCCTCCTGCATTCTGTTCTCGCACACGTGTATGACACTTTGGTCAAAGAAAATGCCTGCAAAAGCATAGTAACGTGTATTAGCGGGTGGCGGCAAACTCACGTGAACGGCGTGTCTGCACTTGTAATTGGATTTACGAAACGGCAATACAGAACGTTGTGACCGGCCCGGCAGTTTTTCGTGACGGCACAAGACGCTGTCTTGCTTTTGCTCCACATGATGTTGGCGACATTGCTGGCCGATAAATTATCAAATGGGGCGCTCCCAGTGTCATATTTACCAGTCGCCGGGGCAAAGTTTGATCTGAATAAGCACAGCATATTTGGCGAAGGTACTAACGGGTAAAAAGAAGCAGCCAGACAGAGTGACGTGTGGCTTGTCCCGTGACTTTCGAGTTATGACCGCGACACAGGAGAAGGAACGAGCGTTGTTTGCAAGAAGCGCTGCAAACACGCTCGTTCATCCTCTATTCGATTCAGCAATGGACAAAAGCGTGCAACCTGGATTCACACAAGCAAATTGTAGGTTAAAGAAAGAAAATTGGAGAATGACAGACTCTTGTATATGGCTCAATCCTGCGGCAAAGTGGCCCTGGATCAGCGCTCCACAGTCAAAGGCTGTGGAGTATTCGAATGGAATCACTAGCCCAGTGTACTGCAGTAAAAAGCATCACAGCATCAGACGCCACTCATACATACAGACTGATGAAACTGTGCTTTTAACATTTTTTTGCGTCTCGGACATGTGTACTCTACTTAAGCTGACATACAAAGCCATACCTTTTTTGCATTCGCCGTTGCTCCCGTCTCACAGGTCGCCGCATCGGTCCCTGCTAGCTCTTTTGCGACTTCAAGTGCTGCCTTTGACTTTGAAACATCTTCTTCCGCATCTCCAGTTGGTTCATCTGTGTCTGGTTCGAGGGCTTCTAACGACTGATCACGAAGGTTAAGCACCCTCAACATGTTCATCGTGGGCAGACAGACTGAAGCGCTCCAAAAACGGCACCCGAAATGCAGCAGGTTGTGAAGGAACTTACATATTTCACGCTTTGCATGACGTCCTTTCCTTGCTACTTGGGAGCTGAACACCAGTCTTGTGCTGGAGCAAATAAAGTTGTTTACGAGAACGTAGAGCTTGAGAGAAAGCGCAGCAGAGGACAGTTCAAATAAACAAGCATCGTGAAGATACCAATGTACCCAAAGATACAAAAGTGAGAACACAGCCGACGCTGGCTTAGTATCATTCTCTCATTTTTTGCGCTTGCAGGTCACCTTTAGTTGCATCGACGGCCTCGATGGCAACTGGAACAGCTTGAATAAACGAAACTTTTGTGTCCATGATGTTGTTATGGGGATTAGTAGGAGCAGAGTGGTTCCTGATGGCCACTGAGAAATTCGTTGTGGCTGCTCCTGTGAGCAGGCCAGTGTAACAAGCCAACAGACCAGGTCGATACATGGTAGCTATAGAGAGAATCTTGAGAAATAATGACACAAAATAATATAAGAGCAATACGAATGGGTCCAATGAACGCGTAGCCAGCGAAGGAAACTAGGACCCGCTGGGATGGGCTGTGCATAAAAGCATCGGGAACAGTAGTCTCCTCTTCTCAACCAGTTCCCAATTCTGGCGGCGCTTCTTCATGCATCGCCGTGAGACTGCACTATAACCTTTCTTTCCTTTGTTAAACATACTACTCATTTGTGTTCTATGTTATACCCGCAAAATTTCATTTTTATCGTGATACGCTTAAGCTGCCCGGTCGATCGCAAGGAAACCAGTCCGCATGTGACAATGTGCCAACAATGATCCAAAGGTAGTGCTAGCATTAGAATGAAGTAGCCTTATGTAATTAATAAATAAACTCATATAACGTGAAATCATAGCTTTTAGACGCCGGAATTGTGTCTATCAGAGGCTGATTCAGGTCAGGGAGGAGGGGGAACCGACGACGGGCACCACGATCGTCGTTCTTACAGAAGATAGTTACTAGATCTTCCTTAAATGCCAAATCAAAGACTGTGAAATATTTTAAATGTTTTCTAGGGGGCCAAATACTAGAAATTTTGGGGGAGGACGTGTCAACAAGGGCCCGTCAACTGCCGCAATCCCACGGCTTGCCAGCTAATTTTGACAGCAAACAAGTAATAAGCTGTTCCTGAAGCTTAAATGATTCGTGCTGCTTGTTATATCGGTATGTAACTATCCAAGGCTTTGCAGCAAGCATCTTGCGAGCAACCGGCTATTAAAGGACGCGACCTTAGCGTTCTTTAAGCGCATAATGCCGGTGTCTTGCAGACCGGCCTGCATTGAACTACCCAAATAGTAAAAATTTTAATACCAAAAACCAAGGTGCTCAAGGATGCTACCTCTCTTCAGAGCATCGATTTCAGTCGGCAGCGACCGCTTGGAAGCGCACATATTTTTCGTGTTCATTGTATTCTTTGAATGCCCATACTGTCCAATTTTGGTCTATCTAGCTCGAGAATCGCCAAAATTTCTACGTCATTGCAGGAATGAAATCATGCCAAATGTGTGCTTCAGCACCAAGTATGAGCCAACAGGCATTACCCGATACTGTCTAAAAAAGATTAACAGCTTTCAAAAAGTACACTGTTTAAGACCATATTTTGTCTTGTTTCTGAGAAAGCACCCACGTTCTTAGACTTCTCCATCAGCACTTGTGCTTTCTCAATTTGTACAGAAAAACAGTGTTGCGATCAAAGTACCTTCAGGGAGCATCAAACCACGCTTGCATTCTTCAATCATCAGTTTCTGAAATTCAAATCTACTTGAAAATTGTTTCTTCCCATATCGCAATCTGGCTTGTGGCACCAAAAATCATGTTTGAAAGTGTTTTTATGTTCCAAATTGTAAAAGTGTTGTTGTAATGACACCTTTAGGCGAAAAACCATGAGCGATCTCTTGCTCTACGAGTGGCACACATTAAGCTCGTACGCATTCTAATGGGCTCGCTGCTCATCTCTCGAAGTGCCTCTGCTCCTCGAGACATGCCCATTGTGATTCTTTTGCTGCGAATATTCTGTTCCACTGCTTCGTTTTGAAATACTGGTTCTCCGCGATCGTATTTCATTGCATGAATAAGCCTCTTTACACGTGCACCCGCATCTTACCACGTTGCTAACCTACCCAATCTTCTTATTTTCACGATTTAAAACGTTGCTCTACTGCTTATCCGCATCCTGCCATCCACCAATGTGCTAATAGCCTTGATGCTGTTGTGTAGGTTCCACTTGCTGCTTTCACCTTCCCTTGTGGTGTTTTTTTTTGTTTTTGAAGAAGTAGCTTTTGCATAGACAATCAGGCGGCTACCACTGTCACTAGCTGGGAAGCTAAAACTGAGGTACATGCCTCCAGAGCAATCATGTCCTTTCAATCTTTGACCTTCAATACAGAATATATTGGGCATACGTATTCATCGAAAAAAATGGTGTTAAAGCAACAGAGAGCCCGAACATAGCAAAGCCCGCATGCCTACGTAATGTAGATTTTGATGTGCAACCTGGCGCGCCCGACACGTCCTTGCTGCATGAGGTGTCTGCATCACTTTTGGATTCACTGGATACACCGCCAGCATGGCTCCCCAAAGCACGCATTGGTTGAAGGTGTGTTTTGGTTTTAGTCGTCCTGGTGGTTTCGATGCTCACATCAGCTTAATTCAGTAAGTTCATGTGAGCCTGGAAATGTAGGGAACTACCACAGCAGCTGCTGAGTCTCCTTCACAGGCGCCCATTGCACTTTCTTTGATAACATTATGTGGCTCGATAGTGCAGTCGAATAGCGTCATTTCACGTCAGTTTTGCTTTGCCGCTGTCATGCCTACACATCAACGAGCAGAGAATAGTGGAAACCACAGAAGTTTTCACTGCATAGAAAGGCTGCGGTGCAGTTTTTCAAGATAGTTGCCGTGTCACTTCACATTGAGTCCACAACTGAAGAAAACTAAAATTTTAAAAGCAGCGCTTATGTTTCTAACGTTTTCAACTGTGAAACCAGATAACAAAGGCACTAGAAGCTTTGGGCAGGCTAGTGAAGTTAAAATTAGGCCGAATGGGAATTCAAAAAAGCTAGAATTTAACGCTGCAAATATGCATAGAAAGGTAGAATTGTGTCACGCCGCCTATTTTGCTTATGAGGCTCAAGCGCCGTCCTCATGGTTCGTGTTTCCTCGTTCGTATGCACTTCTTCTTGCTTGCAAGGCGGAGCAACGTACGCTGCATTTTGCACTTTAGAGAGTGGTCCTATAGGCTAAAATAGAAGAATAAAGATAAGGAAACAATGGCAAGAAGATGACTTGTGGGCGACAGGAAACACTGATGAAAGGTTCCCTAAAGTTCGAAAATGCCCTCAGCGCCAGAAGGCTAGTCGATGTAGATTGGCAAATTCTCCATGGGTCTGAGCACGGTCAAAAAGAATGGCAGTTCGGCTTTGCTAAGCTGTTTTAGTGTTTTAAAAGGCGATGCGCATTGTGCGCATACACTAACTGAACAAGTAATGCGCATGTGCCTGCAAGTAAGTTTGGTCAGGATTTGGTGGTTCCAGGAAACGAGCAATGCAAATGACAACTCACTAGGGCACAGTATGCAAAAATTATTTGCTTTCCCTAAACATGCCATTAGAGGTATACTGGTACAGGCAATCACACGGCATTTGCTACAGACAAAATAGGCAAGAACTGTGGTGGGTCTGACAAGGATGACCGACTGGTTTCTTCTTGCTTCGCACCTCGCAAGAAAGCTTAGGGAGTTACTTTAATAAGAAGGACGTTCCAAAAAAACGCATGCGAGCGCTTCAGCGATGCCACCCTGGGATCTAAGGAATTCAAGAACAAATTGGAACCCTGGGATCTAATGAATAAGGCTTAAGCTTTGCAATACAGGTTCGACAAATAAAACTCCATACCCTACTGTTCCTAAAGCTAAGGAACCTTCACAGACAAAAAAAATAGAGCCATTCGTCTTGCTTCAGCTTTGGTCACTTTTGAGTCAATTCGCCCGACATGAGCGGAGGAGATGAGGACGCAATATGCAACGTAGATACGCAGAGTGAAGCTCTTGAGGTCCATTTTTCTGAGAAAAGGAACACTTGGCCGTGATGAAGAGCAGCAAGTATTTCTGCACAATACAATCTGGAAGTACATGATGCTCCCGGCCGTTTGCAAAGCCAACGTTTGATATACTTTGAGAGCTGACAATCTTCCCTGAAGGCGTCGAATTCTCACAGCACAGACCCTTGAATCAGCCTGTTCATTGCACTTCAGCTTCCAGCCGACTCAGTCCTTTCGGTATAATGTATTGTGCTTCTGGTAGTTACTGTCCTTCACATATGAGCAGGAAGCAAGATGGTCTTGTCACTAGTGCTTTCTTGCTTACTACGTGGCAGATCTACAGACCTACAGCACAAGCGGGTTTGGTGGGCAGCAGCGAAGAGACAAGCCAGCATTGCTGATGTCACATACGCATCCCTTGCATGGCGCGAACAAGGTTCAAAACACTAAAACAAAGTCTGCATCTAGCCGCTTCGCGTATTTGTGAGGAGACATTTGCTACTTCACCCTCGCGGAACGTGCATTCGGAAAAGGTTGACAAATGAAACAAAAACGTCTGGATCTTTACAGTAAAACATATTTGGCCCAGATGGCAATGTTCAAAGAACAAACCACGCAGCTGTAAATATCCAGTTCGAGAAATAGTGCATACTCGCCCACACTGGGAGACACTTTGGACGCCGTGAAAACTGGGACGACGCACAGTGCAGCATGGGATTACACTGCAAGCGATGCGTTGGAGAACAGTGCAGGGCGGCAGAAAAATTAGAGAACCACACCAAAATGCTTTGTGGAGATACCCTGCCTGAGGTTATTCCAGCCGATCACCTTAAGTGACTCGCAGAGACGTCCAGCAGCAAGAAACCAAACCTTGCGACTGTGGACAACTGCGATATGTGTCAACTTCTATAGGCATTGCATCACATGTGGTTGTTGCTTTGCCGATTCGCCGCCCTCCCTTCTCCAATTCAGTTGAAAAAGTTAAGTGCAGCAGCATCATCTGTTGCTGCGGCGCAGCTGGCTTTTCTAAAGTCCACTCAGTAGAAGCAGTGCACTAGAAAATATTATGGTGACAAAGCCAGGGTCTGCGGTCCACGCTGTGCCTTCCTGCCGTTTCAAGAGAGCGTTATATAACTCAACGCTGCAGACAGCAGCAGACAGAACACCTACGTGAAAGTGCCAAGCATGCCACATTCAGCTTTCAGCTGCACTATCAAAAGTCCGACTTCGGTTTTACTGGCTCCGCGTTTAGTTGGAAAACAATCTAATATTTAAAACTGAGGTCCTGAACCATGTGCAGCAATGCGTAGATTTGGGTCATTCCTTGCATGGGCAAAAGCTTACGGGAACGTTGAATCGCCGGTCTTAAGTGACTCTATGAAGTGACAGTACAAAACATTATAGCCTGCTTCGCAGTTGGTGGTGGCCGCACATGACATTTTGCTGCTTTTATCCGACATCATGAAGGCGACATTACTGGCTGCTACATTGTTAAATGGAGCCTTTGTCACGTTGTACGTGCCTTTTGCCGCAATAAATTTCTCCCTGAGCGAAAAAGGCAATAGGGCCACAGCGAAGTAGTAGACTGACGAGGCTATCGACAGCGTGGAAAGGGGGCTGAGAGACACGCCACAGGGACCACTGTACCGCAAATACAGGGCTGAACAACAACTACACGTACGGTCAACACATCATTCCAACATCCTTACACAAACAACATAAAAAAGCTGAACTATGATTGCTGCTCATCAAATAACAATAATAAACAAGACGATGCAGCAGAGTCAACACATCGCTGCAACATCCTCAGATAGATATCAAAAAGCTCCGCTATGACTTTCACTTATTAAAGACCATTTTGTGCTGGGCACGGAAGACGAAACACAAGTAGACAGACATTTGCAGATGGCGTAGTCCAGCAGTAAAAGACGCTTCGATCAGAGTTCCGCAGTCGAAGCTACTAGATGCTGCGAATGGAACAACGACTCCACGATACTGCAAGTCATTACAGGAAAAACGCATCACGTACCATGAAAACATGAGCGAGAAAAATACACCTATATGGAAACGTCGTAAGTTTCTCAGAAGATAGGAAGCTGAGGCAGCTAAGTAACGGTGTACGTACACCTGCTGCGGTGTACGTACACCTGCTGCGGTGTACGTACACCTGCTGCGGTTGACTCTTGCTCGGGGGTTTCGCATCTATTTGTGCCTATATCATAAGCCAAACCTTTTTTGCGTTGGCTGCTTCTCCCAAATCACAGTTCTGTGCGCTTGCCCCGGCGAGCTTCGCTGCAATTGCCAAGGTAAAATTAACATCGTCTTTACCTTGGCCACCAGAAGTTGAATATTGAGAGGCATCCTCTCCGTTCAGCAGTTCCTCAGTAGTTTTTTCGCCTAAGCTTTCAAATACTTCGGCATTTTCGGCCTTGATGATAGTTGGGAGAAAGTAATTAAGGCCGTCCGTTCGTAAGGCGTTCACAGCAGACAAACACTCTGCAGATGTATGGCAAGGCACACGGATGGCAAACACAGTGAGAGTCTTGGTTATATTTGTTGGATTCCTTCACCCACTCTTATATATGGATTTAACTCGCAGTTGTTGTTCCGACAATTCCCATATATAGGATCGATGCAAGGCACCCAACACTGATGTTGGATGACACCGGAATTCGAAATGGACATAGCTTGCCACCCACGCCCGAATCTCCGCACGCAGCCGCAAATCAAATTGCAGCTGAATCTACATTAGCATTGTTCCACTGTTTGCGATTCACCGTCAGTTTTGTCCTGCGCTTTTGGAGCTCCGGTTGCTTGAACAAATAGTGATCGTGCAATCAGGCTGTTGTTGTGAGGGTTAACGGCCGCGTATTGACTGGTGACTGTCTCTGAAGTGTCCCCTGAGGCCGCTGCAGCGAGCAGTCCCCCACAGCACGCCAGCAACCCAAGACGAGACATGTTGAGAAACTGAAAAAAACTGAAGCGCAAATAGCTCTTAGAAAAAGCCAGTGGGCCTAAGAGAAGAAATGGAGGTAGAGAACGAAGCAGAAAAACGTAAAGAAGTTGTTAGTACTTGTGTGCGCTCGAGACGCCCCTCATCAAGGTAGCAATCCCAACACTCATTGCGTCACGAATATGCGTACGCACCCACCACTACTATTTAATTATTTGTTAAAACGATCTATGTTGCCTAATTGCTTTGCGCTAACTGATTTCGTCTTCCAAGGCGCACATGCCAAGGGAGACCAGCAGGAATCGCTGGACCATGCTCCAGCCAATGTGGCATACACTCCAGCTCACCGATCAAAGGTGTAAACTTCTATTAGAATGCTTTCAAAAAATGTTAAAGGGAGTGTGACTGTTCCTGAAGATAGGTGCATTGAACTCCTTAGAATAAAACAACGCGTATTCAGACTGTTAACGCCGGACTGGACTGGGCACGCTGCAGGGCTTGCTCCAGACGAGCTGCACTCCCATTCAGTTGTAAAAGCCAAACCGTTGAAGTTTGTCAGAACTCCTAAACATTTAGCAGCTTCTAGTGATTCGCGCAGTTGAAGTTTCAAAGGGTGGCCAGTTGGCAAGACCGTTTACAGGCACGGCAGGCCGTGGTGCTTCTCCTTTATGATGTAACTGAGAAGGACTGTGCCGAAGAATTGACATTACTTAAATATAGCAATCAAACGTTTTATATAATATTCTAGTTGCCTGATTCATCATGCAAGATTGTCTTCCAATATATCGGCTCCCAGCGAACCACTCAACAAACTAAGCCTTCACTGGCCCACACAGCCTCTAACGCAGTTTCATTCCTCATACCCTGAGCTATGCATAAGAACTCGCTGCATATGAGAAACTTGGTGATTGCTTTTTTTCAAATAGGCAAAGTATACGTGCCCACTGCAGTTTAACTTCAAAAAGGACAGGTGAACTCAATGGCGCCGAATTAGCGTAGGCTATCGCAGCATTTGTCCCTTTTCAACGTACTGGAGTGCAAACTTGAAATGTTCTTTGCAAAAAGTCGAGCTGGGATTCGCCGTGAAATCAGCTGGGTGTCTGTCCAAGCCAGGATAGCATTTTCAAACAATGCGAATTCAATGAAGAAACATTGACTTGGCGGAATTCGCATTGGAAATATTGGATTATAATGCTAAATGGATCTTAATTCTCAAATTACCGCCTGAATAAGGCCCTGGAGAAGAGAAGCAAACAAAGCCCTTTGAGCATTACCGCAGCTCCTAGCTTAATGAGATGCTTCTGTCTCACGAGTAGTGGACAGCATGCTGCGCACGGTGAGAAGTATCTGAGGAAATACGCCCATCAACAAGTAGTAGTTCATGCCGGCTTATGCAGCCCACCCTTTTAAATGGCAATGATTGACCGGGTTAGGCGTGCAAGGGGCGCAGGCGCCTCTCTATCATCACTCCGGTTTTTCCTTAATTCAACTTATCTTCTAGTGATTGCCGAATCACTACACGGCGCGCATAGAAAGGACGTCTGTGTGCCTTTCTTTTGAAATGAAAAAATGCGTTGGCGCCTGCGGCTGCGAAGTGTGAATTCACGCCACAAACAAACTCGAATGCAGAAATGCGTCTTTAATGCTTTCAAAAGGGTGGAAACGATGAAAGCACTCAGCAGCTCAGCATGATACTGGAAGACTCTATGTATGTTTATTCGCTACGACTCAACTCTCTTACTTTGTCCTCACGGCCAACAGACCGAAGTGGTGGATAGCAGAGCGAAGACGCCAGTGCTGCGCCGGAAAAATGTTGCTGTATTGCAGCAAATGCTTGGCTGCGGTATTGCCAGCGGCAAATTTGACTTTTGCTCATCAGCCCAATCTCAACGTGACCAAGGCAGGGTAGGAACCTCTAGGAGTCCTTTTAAGCTCTGGGATTGAAGCTGGACCCGACGGCCGCTTGGAAAGAGCCACTTTTGAGTCACCCCCGCGACCAGCCCGTAACCAATTGCCAGAATGGCACTATGTGATCGGTTACAGGAAACAGAAGTGGACAAGAAACAAAGGAATCAGGACACTGGGCGGCAAGCCAGAAAGGGAGATAAAAAATGGAAAAGGGAAGGTGCCACCTAAAGGAGGAAAAAATGAAGCAAGAGAGAAACTGATACTCGAGATGCGAAGACACGGGAGACGGAAGGGGACAGGACGAAAGAAGAGACGGGCGACGCAACGAAACAGTAGCGAAGACAAAAAGCGCCAAGAAATACAAAAGGACACGAGAGACGAAAGACAAAAGGCAAACAAAGGAGGCACATGCAGACAGGTGACAAAAAATACAGGCAGAAAAAGAAACAAGAGACAGCAAAGACATAAGAAACAGAGGTAGTAAGCAAACACAAAGGGGCAAAGGACAGGAGGAGATGGGGGACAAAATGCACCAAGACGCAAAAGAGGCTGGCTAAGGGAGACATTCCAGAAGGTCCGGAACGGGACGACGAATATGAGCAGTTAATTTAGAGTTAAACAGCTCCATCAACTGCCTATTCTCATATGAGTCGTGATAGGTAAACCATATTTCGCAGTAGGGAAATACAAAACCTTTTTGCCCACGCCAAACATCGGTTTTCGCAACGTAGGTGAGCTCAGGATCGGTTCCAGATAATGCGAAAACATGAAACAAGCTGGCATTGCATAATAGTGTCAGCAAGAACGCACACAATGCAATCACTCAAGAAATGTCTGGTGACAAGAATGACGGAGCGAAATGCGTACTAGAAAAATTAGGAATGCAGGTCAAAGCTAATGGGCGTTTTTTAAGTTCTCTCAGGCCAGATGCCTTCAAAACTAAATTCTCAACGCATCCTTGCCCTTTGTGAACGTCAAAGTAGCAATAGGTGCATCAAAGTGTATGCCTTGTCTCGCAACTAAGGAGCCAGCCCTACAAGAAGGCGCAGACTTGAAATGTATCTGTACAACATTGTCGGAGCTTTCGTCTCTGTGCAGCTAACAGCTTTGTCATGTTTGCGCACGAGGCACTCTGGCTAGAAAGGGACGCACCCGCACGCATAGCCGATTGGATACTTTCAATAAACGAAGTTTTGAGTTGCCAAGAGTCTCGAATTGCCAATACGATGACTGGACAGGGCTTTGCCCGCCCTCAAGTCGAAATACATTTTAGAAAGGGCACTCGACTGCGAAGTCTAAAGTCACTGAGTGAGCAGCTCCTGCAGCGTTTTCGCATGGATAAGCAATGTGAAGTGAATTTGAACATGATAAAAGTAGGTACTGCATAGAGTTAAAATTAAATAAGTGGTGCTAAGTTGTGTTGGGAAGAGAGAGCAATGCTACATTCTTGGTCGAAGCTCCCCTTCATCAATCGCTTGCAGTAAGCAGCATTTGAGCTCAAGAGCCTGCCTCTAAACAACTTAGGAATGCCTTCCACGAAATCTGCAGAGCCTTGGCGTCTCACCCAGTAGCTGCTCTGCGGTTTGTGCGTCGAGCTTAAGTCAGAATGGTCAAGGCGAGGGACAAGAGAGCAGTTGAGACGCTGGGAACCAAGATAGACGCCGCACCTTTGCCCACTCCCCAGAGAGCATTGTAGACTTCAGTTCTGTAAGCGACAAGATACAGTGACCGTTATTGCGCCTTGAGACTCCATCCTTAAAATTTCATGGATGCGAGTTGTAGCACATCCCTACATTTGCTCTGCGTTTTGTCCTGTCGAGTGTTCACTTAGATGGCTAGCGCTTACGTGAATGGAGCATCACCAGTTTGGAGTGGATCTATGAAGTAGCAGAATAAAACGTTCTGTCCGGCTTCGCAGTTCTTGGTGGCAGCACATGATACCTTGGCGCTTTTAGACGACAGTAAAAACGCCGTATTGCTGGCCGCTACATTATTAAATGGGGCAAGTGTAACGTTATATGTGTCTGTTGACGGGTCAAAGCTCGACCTGCGGAGTAAAGGAGACAGGCGTCAAATCAAAACATTCGAAAGGAAAGGCAAGCCTATTGACAAGTTGCAGATAAGAGGGTACTAAAATAAGTAGCTTCAAACGCTTATCACTGGCGATGAAGACCCGAAATGCAAGAGCAATACAAAGGAAACAACGATTGGGACGATCGTCTACCTTGTGCATGCTTAAGCAAACATAGAACTCCATCAGAGCAACAAGCAAAGAGGCCCAGCTACACAGCTACTGCTGAGAATGGTCGGGGCAAATAAAATGAAATAAGTGACGGACTCTCTGAGGTGGCTGAGCCCAGCTTCGTAAGTAGCTCGGATTAACGCTTTGCAGTCGAAAGTCGTATTGTATGCAAACGGAATCACGAGTCCGGGATACTGCAGAGCAACGTCATGGCATTACATGTCAGTTCAGCAAACAGATGAAAACGGCATCATCACTTTGCCCTGCAGTGGTCATTAGACTCAGAAGAATGCAACTGGTGAACGAAGCTAGCGTTGTACTTTTGAGCTGATACTAGAGTCATACCGTTTCCGCATTCGCGCTTGCTGCGAGGTCACATGTAGTTGCATCGTCACCTGCAAGAGCTTCCGCAATTTTTTTAGCAGTGGGACTCTCCAAAGTCTTCTTTTGGATTTTATCCAAGCTTGCAGTCACTTCACCGTCGTCTGCCGTTGCGAGCGCTGTCAATAGGCCATTGAAGTTTTCCGTTCTCAAGGTGTTTATGATCGTCAGGCATTCTGAGAACGGCAACATAGTCCAAGTCAAATGGTGATGCACCTAAGTTGTTGATGTTGCTTCCTTTGGGCCATGCGGTAGAAGTCTGAGGAGTACGTGGGCAAAATTGCGTGAAAGCGCCACTGGCACGCCCTCCAGCACAGGGATTTGTCATTGCACTGGGATGAATTGCGGCCATCATAACGTGCAAGCATGACCTTCCTAGGCCCGCATATCTCCACAAATCAGACTGTGGCTGGGTCTAGCCTAGCATCATTTGATTGCCGCTCTCATTCTTTGTTCACCATTGGTTTTATCTTCCGCTGTTGGCGGCGTCTTCTCAGTGGACACATATAGTGTTGAACTAAGACGGTTTTCCTGAAAGATTCCTGCGGCAGAGCGCAGCGAAAGAGCTAATGAGAAGTTCGGTGCGGCCACACTCGCCATCAGTCCAGCATAGCAAGTTAACAAGCCTACGCGAGCCATTCTGGAAAAGGAGGCTTGTGTTGGCAAGTAAGCGATACACAAAAAATCAACCAGACCGAGCACGGATACAAAATAAGGAAGAAAAGAGAGTTAAGGCATGTAGGATCCGTTGACAACGGTCACTGGTTGTAGTGTGTGCGCTAGACAAGTGGTGCCGAACTGCGCTACGTGGCGGCGATCCTTTCGATGCTCCGATCCCACCATCCAGCCCCCAAGGGGATTTCTCCAATATCTCCAGCTCTTCTTCAGGCCTCCAAAATTAAAATGCTTTAGTGTCTTATTGCTCTGTGGAGCTTCTTTTCTTTCAGCGAGACATATGTGCTGGCTGCAGTGAATACAGACGCCGACGAGTCACCAGTAGTCAAGACCCGAAGCCACAAACCATCTACCAAAAGGAGAGGCAGATCGGTAAAGGAATGATTTCCATATATAAAGCATTAGAATATAATTTTACGAGCTTTTTTAGAAAGGCAATTCGGAGCTAGTGGGACGAAGTAGAACGTTATCGCTGATGTGCGAGAGCCGCTCGAGCTCACGGTGTCGTGTGAGCTGGTGACCTGTACACTCACGACGCACTGAAGACAATATTCGTTTACTCACCTAATCCATGCAGATTAGCATTTGGTAAAAGCCTGCATAGGCAAGAAAAAATGGTCACATGCCGTATGTGCTCGAGTACTTGAATGACTGTGTAACGTTTGCGTTGCTCGTGCCAGCCTACTTCACAATCAAAGAGCCCCAGGGAATATTAATCAGTTAATTCCCCTAAAAGTTAAATATGTGCTTATTTCATGAGGCTGGCTCGCATTAGCTGGCAATTGTTCTCCTTGCGCACAACCTGCAGCAACAGACCCTCGATTCTGGCAAGAGCTTCTGTAGCACGCGGGACGTGAGTAGAGCGAGCGTCCTGTGTCAGGCTTTACGCTGTCCAACACGATCGACTACTTGATGCTGAAGCTGCTCCTCTTTAGTGACCTCCATTAAGGGCAAACTCAAGTCATCTTGTGGCCAAAATAGATCTATCTGACGGCCTCGCACGCTGTCACCTCGAGGTCCCGAGAGTAGAATCCCCAGGGGCTGGGACACTGTATACGCACACCTGGTGGCACCTCGTTCATTCTCGAGAATCCGCCTGCGGTGGGATGCTGCGGCTGCGCTTTCCCAGGGTGGAATCTACGCTAATTCTACGGAGTACCCAGTCCTCTACTGCTGGCGTCTAGAAGCCCAACGGAACCCACCGTCGTGCTCGTGCACTACAGCATCTCCTGAGTATAAGTAACTCCATCAGATGTTGAGCTGTTTCAGGGAATCAGGAAAGCACAGTTCGCGCCTATTTCGAGTCAGAGAGGCGTTCGGCAAAGCCAGTAGCCCCGAATTGCTCTGATCCGTACGCCCGTCGTTTCCACCGGCTGCTGGCTTTGTTATGTCAGTACTACGTGCACAGCAACGGAGGAATCTTGTGCTTAAATTGGGCTGGAATATTTAGAAGGATGTGCACGCATAATTTCCTCAGGCCCAAATATGTCCGCAGATCTGCGGCTGGGTCTACTGTGGCCTCATTCATTCGCTCTCACTCGTAGTTCACCTTTAAGTTCTATCTTTGGCTACTGAAGCCGCAAACAGCGAATTTCGTCTGGACACGAGTAAATTTGTGCAACGGATGTTCTCCTGGGATGCAGCTGTGCCAGAGCAAATGAAAAGCGTCGATGAGAAGTATGATGCAGCCTTGGTGGCGATGAGGCTAGCATAGCGTGGCAGCAATCGTGCGAGGGTCACCAGAGGCCAGTATTTGTACTGTGAAATGAATGATATCACACGACCCAAACATAGTAAATGCTAAAGGGGAAAATCATAAACGGGAACTTGCGCCAGCCGGCCTCGCGTCCAGCCCCTTGCCCGGTGCGGGCCGGCTGGCGCAAGTTCCCGTTTATGATTTTCCGCTATCCAGCGGTGCCTTATGCCTTAAGATATTCAATATTATTCATGCCTTAAGATATTCAATATTATTCATGCCTTTCGCGTTAGTAAGCCTCGAGGGGTGACGACGAAGGTTAATTGTAGTGCCAGGCACTACAGAGGTAGTGGGGAATTCTGACACCACGATCCCAGCCTCAAGTCACGTCGCCCAAGAGCTTCCGTCAAGTGTTCTGGCAAAGCTATCAACCTTTGAAGGAAGGGCTGGAATATCTGATTACCTTGCGATATTATTTTTTCCAGAGAGATGGCGCTGCCTGCGGTGACTGAGGAGTCACCAGCGGTCAAGGCACGCTATGCACAAGGCATTCAGGAAAAGGAGACGGTAATTGGTAAGGGAAACACTCCTAATCATGATTAGTAAATAGGATAAAAAGAGATCATTGAAGAAAGGCAATGCAAAAATAAGCTACATGTGGTTCCTTGGTGCGGTTAGTTTCACGACAGCATGAGGTGAGCGCACTGTGACCTGCGGACTCAAAGGAGTTTAAGGGCAAAAGTTAAAAAATAGACCAAAATATAGCCCTCAAGGTATGCTTGAAACGCGTGTAGGCAGGCTACAGAGCCCAAAAATGGCCACACACCGTATACGCTTGTGAGTCTCACTTTTACCGATGCTGCTGGCTAACTTCTCGATCAAAAAATCTCTTGGCTTCGTTGCCAACTGATTCCATTAAGGGAAAAAATATTCCCTATAATATATGCTCGAACAAAACTAATTTGTGCCGATGCTTGTTCGCTTCCGGCACACCTTTGTGCTCCAGACGAGACGTCGGCGGCGCCACAGTTCCACAGGTCAGCGACGATTTATGCTATCAGATGCTGAGCTGCTTTGGTGAGGTTATTTGAAAAACAAAATATTTTAGTATTTTGAGTCAAGGATGAGCACGGCATAGCGAAGGCTACTCGCTAACTTGATTCGCACACACATCGCCTCCCCTTGTGCTGCCAAATGTTTTCGTGGTACGCGCATCAGATCTAGATAATAGAATCCCAGCACTGGAACAACACATGAGGACGCACTTTTAATGCACTTACTGCAGCAAAAAGCCGTAGAATCTTCTGGCTTCGCTGTGAACGTTCGTGAAAGACTGAAGCCAGTGTGTGCTATACTTGATCCCGCGAACGCGACTTGAGAGCTATTCAGCCGCAGTGGGCACATGACAAATTAAACTTGGTCAACATAAATTCAGGTGTAGCTATGGAGTTGCCATATACTTAATATAGGTTCCACCCATGGGCATAGTGAAGCCCTCAGCCAGCACGCCCATCGGCTGCCAAGCGTGGCATTCCTTGCTTCATCTAGCTAAACTGCACCCCCTATGGGAATAAGAGCACTCTGGAGAATTTTCCATGAGCTTGTTGGGACTGTGGCGTCAGAGACGGAAAGGTCGCGTGAACTCCTAACAGGGACCGAGCGAAGCCCAGGGGAGGCCTTTCAACGAAAACTTGGCTCTAAGCCCGTGCAATCCATGCGGCCTCTGACGGTTCACTGTGCGCCATGCTCACTTATCGTCCTCATTAGCGCTGAAAGGCTCAACACTTCTCTACTTACAACCGAGGCCAAACATCCGTTGGGGAATTCATTGCTGTTTGCAGGCAGCATATCGTGCTGCAGACCAAACAGCTTTCGATTATCGCTGAAGCCATGAGACTTGGTTGCACTCCAAGTTTTAGAGGACAAACAAACACAAACGCTGAAGACCTAGGTGGCATAATGCCGGCAATCCAGCACAGTAATTGCCTTCTGAATCTATGTTCATTTATTAGCAATTGAAAGTCGGATGTTTCAGACATCTCGCAGTCAATTGAGATCTAATGTCATAAAAAAGAACACGCTTGTGCTTGTGTATTCGTATTTGTTCATATGTGCTCATACATTTCACGTGCCTGCACGTAAAATATACCGGCGCACGTAGACACTCATGTAGAGGAATATGCGCATTCATCCCTGCTGTTTGTTTCCCTCTTTGCTCACTGTCATGACCAGGATTCCTTTTTTGTTTTGAAGATGCGCTCAGCGATATGCCTCTGTACCAGGTGTTGGAACCTAGATGAACTAAGAATTGCATCCAGAGAGCGCTGAGATTTGGGAGAAACTGGCACTGTATATTGCAGTAGCGGCGGCAAGAATACATAAAAGGTAATCAGTCAAGAAACCTCTAGACTGAAAGTGAGACAAGGCGAAATAATTTCTGGGAAATATATCGCTGCATGCTTTCAGTTCTTTCAGGTCAGAGAGCTTCAAATTCAAACTTTCAAAAGATTGTTGCCTTTGGCGAACTTCAGCAACAGATACAGCAAAGCATGTTCTTCGTCTCGTAAGTAAGTAGAACGCACTTAAAGGAGACGCATACAAGGAACGTATGCAACGTAAACGGGACATGTACTCTGTAACGTTGTCGGAACTTCTGACCCTTTGCCGCTAACAGCATTGCCGGGCGTCTGCACGAGATGTTCAAAGTGCAAGAGCCGCAGCCGCTCCCCTATCCGTTTGGATAACTCTTATAAGCGGAGTCTAGAATTTCTACTATGGTGCCAAGGCGGGGCATTGCCCGTTCTTTAGTCAAAATATATTTCAGAAGAGACATTGGGCTGCGAAGTTTAAAGTCGCATGGCAAGCGCAGCCAACTCACTCATTGTACAGAACTTTCATTGCTTTCATATGGAAACGTGCGATGCGGAGTGGATTTAAACAAGTTAACACCAGCTACTCCATACTGTGCAAATTAAATGGATGATATTAAGATGTAGCAGGGAGAGACAGCAATGCTGCATTCTTTGCCGACGCTCCTGCTCATCAACCACTGGAGGTACGTAGTGGTAGAGTTTAGAAGCCAGCGTCTATACCACTCAGGATACCGTCCACCGAAATTCCCCTAATCTTGGTATCTTCAGTAGCTGCTTTGCAGTTTGCTCGTGAAGCTTAAATGAGAAGAATTGTGGCGAGGGACAAAAGAGCCGTGGCAGCTCGAGGAACCGAGATTAATGCTGCACCTGTCTCCGCTTCCCAGAAAGCATTGTAAAGTGCACTCCAAATTACAGTGGTGGCAGCAAGAGCGCACACAAATTAGTTGTTCAAGAAATTTGGAGTGAAATGCGCTAGATTGAAATGGGAGCTTGGAAAGTCAAGGCTGCAGGTCAAATTTTGCAGATGTTTTTCAGTTCCCTGAGGTCAGACGGTTTCGAAAGTAAATTTTCAAGGCATCGTTGCCTTTGGTGAAATTCAAGCCAGCACTAAATACAGCGAAGCATACGCGTTGTCGTGCAACTGAGTACCGCGCCCTAAAAGCAAACGCATGCTTCAACGCATGCTGTACAGTATTATCGGAACTTCCACCTCTGCGCTGCTACAAGCTTTGTCAGGTGTATAAACGACACGCTATGTAATAAAAGTCGCTGCCGCACGTCTAGTCCATGTGATATCACTAATAAACAGCATGTCGAAGCTCCAACACAACTTTTGGACAGGGCTTTGCCCAATCTTTGGTCAGACAAGAGTCCACACCGGCTTTTCCGGCTTATCCAGCAACCTCTGGAAAAAATTCACAGTATCTGATTACTTTGTGGCATTGTATTTGTTTGCAAGAGACCGCGGCGGGCTTCCCCAAGTATGCTTCAGCCAGGAAGGAATCCATGCTAATTCTACAAAGTGTCCTGTCTTAATATTTTTGGCCTTTAGGAGCCCACGGGAACCTATTGTAGCGCGACTGCACTACAGTGACCCTCAGTGGACCCCAACACCACCAGTAGCATTTTCTTTCGAATCAATAGCTTCCCGATTTCTTCCTTTACAGCTCTTTATCCTCAATGGTTTCTAAATTGGATAATATTTTAAAGCATTTTCCGTCCTCCTAGTCTGAATGGCTTGTGCATGTCGTGGTTGGGCCGCTGGTGACTCCTTGGATCGCAAAAGCCAGCGTATATGCCTTTATGGAGGAAACACAGCATCCCGAACTAGGCTATTACTAGTATACTGTACATTTTATTCCAAAGGCTAATATGTGAGCCATCATCGTCAAAATAAGCTCCTGGGCGACTGTATGCTGCGATCAAGGCGTCGTAGGCATCCCCACAGCCTCAGCACACCGGATGTTGGGTGACCTGGTAACTCGAAGGGCTTTGAAGATAAAACTTTTAGAGTAACCTGAGACAAGCAGCTTAAAATGTGCTTAAAAGTTACGCAGCAGAGGTAAAGACTTCTAAAAATGGATACACGCCGTGTACGCTGGCCAGAAGCCGTGCACGCTCGCGTACGCAGACGCCTTGCCGGTGCTTCTCCGGCCGAGATTTTGACCGAAGATTCTCCCGGTTTCTTAATCAAAATGTTACTTTAAAAACAAAAATTTTTGTTTTTATAGATGCCTGCATGAAACTAATTCATGTTGATTCTCGTTCCCCTTCGACAAATTTCTGTGCTCCAGGCTTGCTGTCGGCGCCAGCAGCAGTACCACATAGCTCAACTACTAACGACGCCGGATGCTGAGCTGCCTGGATAAAATCACTCCAAAAGCCCCATAACTTACTACTTTGAGTCAAGGACAATCCCGGCGAGTCCAAGAGTACACATGTCTCGCTTCCCACTGCACTGCGACGCCAAAAGTTTTTGTGGCGAGCGCCTAGCACGAACACAATTCATGAGGACAATTTTTCAACATATCAACTGTAATAAAAGGCGTGAGCGACTCCTGGAGCTGTGAACGTTCACCATGAATGTATCCACGACATTCTGGAAAAATGCAAGACTTGATTGCAGTTCATTGTGACAAATGGAAGCTGTACAATAAATAGAACTCGTGACTGCGGGCAAGGCTTTGCGATTGCGAACGAAGGTAACGTATGGATTCGCCCTACGGGCTTTTCTATACGTTACTGTCGTAGGCAATTGCGAAGCCTTGCCGGCATTTACGAATCTATTGTACAGCCTCCATAGAACTGTGCGCGAAATATTTTGTCTAGAGGCTCGGCTGTTCTTATATGCAAGCTTTCTTATCGCCTTCGGTGGCCAAAAACACGTCACATTGTACTTATGGATTTAATGCCCAGTAACACAAACTGACCAGATAGGCGTCAGGAGAAACAAAAGCACTTAGAGCGTAGCTAGCAAAGGCTGCAGATAGCCTCTTATTAAAAAATGACTCCACATAGCATATTCGAGAGAAGAGATCGCTGTGATGTTTTGTTTGACGCTCTTCACCGTATTCAACTTAACAAAATCAACGCGACAGAGAAAAGTATAGCTGTAATGCCAGGAGCTGTTGTCCACGCTGAGCCCCGCTGCCGTTGCAACAGCGCCTCGTACACATCAGCGCTGCAAAATGTCACACGCAGTGCTCGGTTCTAGGGTTTGCGGAAGGCTTCATACCCAAATAAACGATTCTCGTCACTCTGTATACAATTGGAAGCTGGTAATTAGTGCGGATCTTGTTGAGAGCGGAAATGCACCCGCGTTTAGTGTTGAAAAGCTCACTTAATTGGCTGCGCTTCTACCTTCCCCAAAGGCTCTATGAAATAGCAAAAAAGAACATTTTTCCCTGCTTCACAATCCTTAGTAGCAGCGCATGCCACTTTTCCCGCCTTAGTAGACACTATGGCCGCAAGATTTTTTGCCGCTAGATTGTCCAGTGGAGCCACGCCCATCTTGGTGGCTGCATCCGACGCGTCGTAGTTCGCTCTGCACAAAGACGCAGGCAGTGGCCAGCCCGGTTCAGTTGGTGCGAAAGCTCAGATAAAAAGCCAAAATAACCGACACAGCACGCTAAGACTACTGTATGGCAAGTGCGGAGGAATGACAAAGAAGGAAGTGGCTGCGCAATATCTCCCATGGGCTCATATGGATATGTGTGGGCTGCGCTCCACTGAAAGCTCTCGAGAAGTGGAGATTTGCACGGGATAACAAAGCTGAAGCAAACGGACTGTTGAAGGTGGCTCAACCCTGCAGTGAAAGATTCATTGATCAGAGCCTCGCAGTCGAACGCCGTGGAATAGTCAAAAGTAATCACAAGCCCAGAATACTGCGCACGAACAAAAAACACAAGTCATCAGCTACACCATCATGACCAATTCCAGAAATGCGAGATAAAAATCATTCCGCTTGTGCAGAGGACAAAAAACCTCCAAGAAGCAAATACAAGTGCGCAAACTCTCAATGGATCTGCAAACAATGGTTCGAATGTCTAAGAGAAAATTCGGCGCTGTAAACCGTACTGGTGATGCCGTTGCATTTGCTGCTTCACATGTTTTGTCGCTCCCTGCAAGTTCTGCTGCGATATCAGTGACTTTAGTCTTTTCCCCAATCGCTTTTGGCTGCTGAAGACTTGAGGCAACCTCTTCTTCCGTTGCTTTAACTAGCTCGCTCAACAAATTATTCAATCCTTCTAATCGAAGTTTGTTAAGAACGGGTAAGCACGCTGAATAGGGGCAGATAAGACAGCCCATGCCCGTATTTGTTCTCGCTCGTGTTGGAAATATTCATAAACAGTGTGCCACTAAGTTTGTTGACCAAACCAAAGGCCCCAGAGAAATACAGTGGTCTATTATAACTGCAGCACCATCATACGATGGCATGCACAAAGTTGGGAATGCCTACAAAGAACATTGTACCCGAGCCTAGCTCGATAATCTTTTTCCTCCCGTCCATACTCCCAACTTACCGTCAGTTTTCTCTTCAGCAGCAGGTGCCGTTCCTACGCGAGCAAACGAGATTGGCCGTATGTCTAGGAGGCTGTCGTGCGGGTTGTCAATGGCAGAGCGAATGGGGACTGCTGTTGAAAAGTTGGGTGCCGCTGCTCCAGCGAGGAGTCCTGCGTAGCACGCCAACAGGCTAAGTTGAGGCATTGAGGAAGAACACACAGATCCGTAGGGTCCAACAGAAGCAAAGTAGACGAGCACGTACACGTCAACAAACGACGGAATGAAAAAGTGTGCAAGCTTTGGGGAGCGAATGCGTGCGTGTAGTGGGAAACAAAGGTTCACTGAGGCGGCAACCCCAGCTGCCAGCTAGATCACGACGCCGTCCCACCATGTGGGCTAGGATGAACTAATCTTTTGGTTCGGCGTTCAAGCTTGTGTACCTTCAACAGGAAACGCTTGAAGATTTGAGTCCGTATGCTTTTACTGGCCTACTGAAGTGAGCGGTTATCCAATCAGTTACGATCTGGGATCACAAGGGGTGTGCGTGTGTGTGTTTGTCTGTCGCTCATGCGCATTGCGAGCTGCCAAATTTAGAAGAAGCCTGATTACGTTATTTATTGAAGGAAAAATTTTCGTTAATCCCACATTCTACGTTTCTTCTGGCGGTAGTGTCTCCCAGGTGCAGCGAGCAATCTGTAACATGCACTGTGAAGCCCTGAGGGTGGTGGGATTTCAAGCACGCTAAGACAAGCGAAACACACAGACTGATCTTAATCTGTTGGCATAGTTTGCTACGAACGCGCCAGTCTTTTTGCACGCATTCATAAATCAAATTCCAGCTGAATTTACATAGGCACAGTTGCACTGTTCGGAATTCACTGACAGTTTTGTTCACCGCTTTTGAAGCTGTAGTTACTTGACCAAATAATGACCTTGCATTAAGGCTATTGCAGTGAGGCTTAACAGGATTAACTGCCACAAATTGATTGAGGACTATCTCTGAAGCCCTCACTCTGCTAAAGCGAGCAGCCCCCTACAGTGCGCCAAAAAAACTTTGCGAGACACGCTGAAGAGTTGGAAAAACTAAAACGCAAAATGTTCTAGTGAAAAACTAGTGGGAGTAAGGGAACAAAGGGAGGAGAAGAACGGAGAGGGAAAACAGGAGGAAGCTGCCAGTGGTTGTTTGCACTCGGAAGTCAGCTCTTCAAGGTGACAATTCCGACACTCACTGCGGGGAAATAATGCCCACGAGCTCACCACTCCTTTTTTAATGCTTGTTAAAGCAATCTGTGTTTTGCATAACTGCTTTGTACCAGCAGAGTTCATCATTTGTTGTGCTCATGTGACGGGGGAGAATAAGCGCCCCACGACCTGCGACCGATATGGCATGAAGTCCAGCTCACCGAGCAGCAGTAAGTTACAAATTTTCCTAAAGACAGGAACTGTGGGCTTTTTTAAGGGAAACAAAGCAAATTCACACCGCTAGGTCTGTACTGGACTTGGCACACTGTATCCCATGGTGCAGGTAAGCTCCATCATCATTCAGCTGTAAAACCTAACCGCTGAAATAACTTAAACGTCAACTACCCATGGTATTGGCAACAGTTGCCAATACCATAGGCAGTTGACGTTTCAAAGGATGACCACTTCCCACGACCGTTTGCACACATCGGAGGCGGTTGCGTGTCTCCTCCTCTGCAACTTGACCAAAAATGAATGTTCACAGGTTAATGCCACTTTAATCTAACCATTTACTGTTTGACATTTATATTCTGGCTGCCTGATTTGGTACGCAGGACTGTTTGTCCAGATATTGGCCGTCCCTCAGCAGAGTGAAGCCTGTACTGCCTAGAGAGCTACACTGTTGACAGCCAAGGTCTCAATGCTAATTCTCATATCCGCCTATGCATAAACATTCGGTGCGCTCGACTCTAAAAGTGCTTGCCTGCTTTGAAATAATCAAAAACTTATGGTATGGCAATGTGTATGACAATGCACCACGAGCCCAAAACGGTAGTCGGAAAGGCCCTAGCAAGAATTTCGTAGCACGGCCAAGTAAACATGGAAAGAATGTGCAAATAAGCTGCAAGGTGGAATGCCGGGTCCCCACAGCAATTGAGTTTGGGGAGGAGGTAGGTGCAGTCCATATCCCACATTTGCGTACTTGTAATGGGCTGGAATGCAACCATGATATTTTCTTGGCAGAATAGAAAGAGCTGAAATTTGCCTTGGAATCAGGTGGATGGTCAAACAAGGGTGGCACTTTCAAGCACTGCGAAATTCTTACTAGAGCACGTCCTCACACAAATAGGTTATGTGACGACCAGTAGCATTCTGTGGAGAAATATTCCTTAGCAAAATACACATGCGGCTCTGCACTTTGTTTGTCAACCTCAAGTCAGACTGATTAAGGCAAGGGACAAAAGGGCTGTGGCGACGCTGGGAACTAAAGTGGACGCAGCACCAGTCTCCACTCCCCAGAGAGCATTGTAAATCTCAGTTCTGCAAGAGGCACGATACAATTATCTTAATTGCGTCTTGCGATTCCTATTGTCTAAAGTATCATGCTCGTGTGTTGAAGCGCATTAGTAGCTTCTTTACCGTTGGCGCTATCGACTGGTCATGCGGGTGGTTTAACGCTTACGTAAAGGGCATGTCATGAGTTTGGAGTGGCTCTATGGAGTAGCAGAATAGAACATCATAACCAGCTTAGCAATCTTTGGTGGCGGCGCAAGAGACCTTTGCGCTTTTTGCCGACAGCAAAAATGCGACAGTGCTGACTGCCACATTATTAAAGGGTGCTTCTATAACATATTTGCTTGTCGTTGGGTCGAAGTTCGACCTGCAGCGTGAAGCTGACAGAGAAAGTGTTCGACAAGTAGAAGACAAATGAGCAAACGGATAATTACTACCTAGGGCTTCGCGCTAAGAATGCAGACCTGGGAAAACGCTTGGGCTAGAAAGAAAGGCAGGTGGGAGGATCAACTAGCTTGTGCATGTTTAGGCGGGCACACAGTTCCGATGCAGGTACAAACTATGAGGTACAGAATACTGTGACATTGGTCATAAGCAATCAAAAAAACGACGGACTCTTCGAGATGGGGAAGCCCCGCTGTGTAAGTTGCCTGGATCAAAGCGTTACAGTCGAAATCTGTATTATGTGCGGAGGGAATTACCACGCCGGTATACTGTAGAGCAACACCATGGCAACCGCTTCAGAGGCCCCTTGAATGCACAGAATAAATTTGCATCTTTGCTTTGCCCTGGGAGGCTTGACAATTCAGCGTTAAGGGGCTGCTAAATGAAGCAGGCGCTGCACTACATCCGATACCAGGTGTCTAAAAGCCATACCTTTTCCGTACCCGCAGTTTCGCGCAAATTACAAGTAGCTGCTTCGGCACCTGCAAGCTTTACTGCAATTGTTTGAGCCGTAAGGTTGTCTGCTTCGTCCACTTGGATTTCCTCCAGGCTTACGGTCAGCTCACTATCATCCGCTTTAGTGAGGGGTTTCAGCAGGTCTCTCAGGTTTTCCTTCCTTAGAACGTTTATGATGCTCACGCATCCTAAAGACAGCATGGCGAAACGGGCTGAACAGAAATGCAGCTATATCTCTGCATTTGTTTCGAGTGGATTGACCAGTATCCGTCAGGAGTACATGGATAGGTCTCGGTTAAAGCACCGCCCGAATGCCATCTATCAACAAAGAGGTCACATACGATAAATTGCACTAAAGCGCGTGAAACGCTATACAAGCATAATCTCCGTAGGTCCATATATATCTACAGATATGTGGCTGTAGTTAGCGTAGTGCCATGCACTTGCTCTCATTCGTTCGTCGTTCACCTTCAGTTTTGTCGTCGGCTGTTGGCGCCGTCTGCACAGAATTTTGGCTAGACACAAATGAATTTGTGCTGAGGCTGGTTTCCTGAGAAGTCGCTATTGCAGAGCGAAGGAAAACCACCGATGAAAAGTGTAATGCGCGGGCGCTGGCGAGGATACCAGCATAACACGCCAGCAAAATACGCGAGCATTAGCGGACAGTAGGCCTACTCTGAATTAGGTTACAGGAGATAAAGCCAAACAAAATGAGCACGAAGGGCAGAAGGGGTAAGAACAACAACAGACCTTTTGAGGTGGCTAAGTCCGGCTACGAGGTTGCCTGGAATAAAGCGTCGCAGTCGAAATCTGTGTCATATGCAAACGGAATTACGAGACCGGCATACTGTAAAGCAATGCCACAACAACCACTTCAGAAGTTCCTTGAATATGCAGAAAATGACAGGTTTTTTCTCTGGCAGTGCAGCAACTTACCACTTTAGTGGAAAAGTACTGCTTAGCGAAGCTAGCGCCACACTACAGCCGCTACGAGTCATACCTTTTCCGCACTGGCGCTTTCGCCCGAATTACAACTAGCTGAGTCCGTACCTGCAAGCACTACTGTAATTGTTTAAGCTGTAAGGCTTTTCTGCCCGCGCTCTTGGATATTCTTTAGGCTTTGTGTCACTTCACTGTCATTCGCCTCGATGAGGGTTTTCAGCAAGATTTTCCATCCTTAGGATGTTTATGACCCTCAAGCACTCTGAAGATGGAATTTCAACAGAAAATAAATGGATATACGGTTATGTCGTTGCTTTTGGGTCTACTGGAGCACCCAGCAGCGGTTAGTAGTACATGGGTACCTATGCGCTGAAGTGCAACCTGAGTGCCATCTATCAGCGACGGCACTTGCGAGTAAATTGCACTGAAATGCTCATAAGAACATGCAACAATAATCTCTGTAGGTCCGCATATGCCCACAGATAGCACTGTGGCTGGGCTCATATGCCGCTATTCATATGTTCGCATTGCGAGTTCATCTTCAGATTTGTCGTCGGCTGCGGGCGCCGTCTGCTGCGTCTCTCGGCTAGACGCAAGTAAATTTGTGCCAAGGCTATTTTCCTGAGAATCTGCTGTGCGAGAGCGCGGGGAAAGCGCCGATGACAATTGTGGCGCGGACGCGCCGGCGAGGAGGCCGGTAAAACAAGCCAACAAACCTCGGAGACTCATTGAGGGACACTAGGCCTACCATGGAGTAAATGACAGAACAAGAGACTGGAGAAAGTATGTGTGAAGGGAGAAATGACTAAGGAAATAGAGATTGGGAGTGTGTAGGATTTGACGGCAATGAGCGTGGGTTGTGTGCGCCGAGGTAGTGGGGACCTGATGACGCCTCGATTCCAGGATCTGGTCACGCAGGAGTTTGTTTCGGCTGCTCCGGCGCATTGGTCATCATTTTAAAAAATCATAGTGCTTGATTATTGTATCTTTCTCGCAAAGATAGCTAAGCGAACTGGGGTGCATATCCCCAGGAGCTACCAGCGATCCAGGCATGCACAAGCTATCCAGAATAAGCGAACGGAAGCGGACGGATATGGGGGAAATAAATATTTCTATTCAAAAGCTTCTATGGGGAAAAATCAAAGAACGGTACTGCAGAGCAATTGATTTGAAAGAAAAAGCTTTTCGTGGTAGCGGGATCGGTTAAGGTGACAATGGAGTGGGGTGAGCGTATGGCGACCTGCTAATCCAAAGAACTTCGAAAGGAAATCTTCTAATAGAATCTAAATCTCAAAGCTCTCAATATACTTAAAGTATACGTAGACAAACTGCAGAGTCCAAAAGCTAGGCACACACTGCGTACGCCCGCGTAGTGGGAGGGCTGTTGTACTTTTTCTTATGCTTCTTCAGGCCGACGTCTCAGAAAAAGAATGCCCCGGTTTCTTAGCCAACTGGTTCATTTAGCCAACTGGTTCATATCAAAAGCCAATGCGTAATTTATATGTTTGAGTAAAACTAATTCGTACCGATTCTTGTTCCTCTTTTGCATACCTCCGTGATCCAGACTGGCCATCGACACTGCCAACAGTACCCAATACCACAGCCACTTCTGACGCCACCGCATGCTGAGCCGAGCTCACTTAAAAATCCGACTATTTACAATTATAACATTATCGGAACTCCTGTCTCTGTGCTGCTCCAAATGCTGCTACAAGCTTCGTCAGGTGGGTACACCAGACATGCTGAAGTACTGGTCGCAGCCGCTTGCCTAGCCGACTGGATGCTTCTATTAAATGGTGTCTTTAATTGCCGACACAACGATTGGAAGGGGCAATGCCTTAGCTTAAGTCAAAACACATATCAGAAGAGGCACTGTCCTGCGAAGCCTAAAAGCACAGGGCGAGCACAGTCAGCTCATTGAATGAGCACCATCTTCAGCGTTCCCATGTGAATAAGCACAAATGCGGAGTGAAGTTAAAAAGCATGATGATAATAAGTAACCCACACACTGCAAAATACTAGCACTACAATATAGCGGAGAGAGGATGCCGAGCTGCGTTCTTGGCCGATGCTGCTCTTCATTAACCACTTGCAATACGTAGCAGTAGAGCTCAAAATCCAGCCCCAAAATGACTCTCGAGTGCCTTCCAACGAAATTTTCAAAAGTTCTATATATCTTCAGTAGCTGCTCTGCAGTTGCTTTTCAAATGTGGACCAATATGATCACGGCGGCTGGAGAAAGAGCAGTGACGACGCTGGGAGCCGAGATGGACGCCGCACCTGTCTCCAACCCCCAGAGAGCATTGTAAAGCTCAGCTCTGCAAGTGACAATTAACTCCATTGTGTCTTGCACTTCGCATCCTTCAACGTACCATTCTCGCGTGCTGCTACATGTCGGTAACTATTTTACCGTTCGTGCTGTCAACTGATCATGTGAATGGTTCAACGCTCACGTGAAAGGCTTATCCCCAGCTTGGAGTGGCTCTATGAAGTAGCAGAATAAAACGTCATGGCCGGCTTCGCAGTCTTTGGTGGCGGCGCAAGAGACCTTTGTGCTTTTTGCCGACAGTATAAATGCGACATTGCTGGCCGCCACATTATCAAATGGAGCTTGTGTATTGTCGTATGTTCCTGACGATGGGTCAAAGTTCGATCTGCAGAACAAGGAATTTTTTTGGCAAAAAGAAGATGCATGAGCACTGAGGCAAGCAAGACTAAAGTCTTTGCGCTATTCAGGCCTAAGAAAGTAGTTGAACTAAAAAGGGAGGCAGCTGGGCGAGCTGGGAGGATCAGCTACCCTGTGCATGCTTTAGCGGGCACAGAACTCGACAGAGATACAGATACTTTGGCATCTGTCGAAAAAAACAAAATAAAACAAACAACGAACTGTTTGAGTGGGCTAAGTCCGGCTGTGTAAGTTTCTTGGATCAAAGCGGCACAGTCGAAATCCGCGTCGTGTGCGAATGGAATTACGAGACCAGGATACTGTAGAGCAACACCACAACAACCATTTCAGAAGCCCCTTCAATGCACAGAAAAAAATCAAACTTTTGTTAATGTCGAGGTACTTCTAAAAGAAGCTAGCGCTGCACTACGACCGATACTAAAAGCCTAGAGGCCTTACCTTTTTCGCACTCGCGCTTTCGCCCAAATTGCAGCTAGCTGCTTTGGTGCCCTCAAGCTCTGCTGCAATTGTTTGCGCAGTAGGGCTATCTAGCCCACCCAATTGGATTTTCTTTAGGCTTTCAGTGACTTTACTATTGCCCGCTTCAGTGAGTGTTTTCAGCAAGCCTCTAACATTTTCTGTCCTTAGGGTGTTGATGATGGTAAGGCACCCTGAAGATGTCAAGGTAAAACAAGCTCAACGGAAATACAGTAATATCTTTGCACATGTTTCTGGCGGATTACCCATTAGCCGTTAGAGATACATACGCCGGCCTGGGTTAAACTGCCACCCCTTAGCCATCTATCAAAAAAGAGAGCACCTGCAACAAGTTGCACCTTGATGTGTAGAAGCCTATACATGCATAACTCCAGGTCCACAGAACTGTGGCTAGAGCTAGCGTAGCGCCATTCACTCGCTCTCATTCGCAGCTCACCTTTAGTTTCATCATCGGCTGTGGGCGCCGTCTGCAGCGAATTTCGGCTTGACGCAATTAAATTTGTGCCAAGGCTATTCTTCTGAAAAGTAGCTGTGCAAGAGCGAAGGGAAACCGCCAATGAGAATTGTGGTGCAGCCGCGTTCGCAAGGAGGACAGCAAAGCAAGCCACCAAAAGCTACGTGAATCATTGGGGGACAGTATGCCTATTATGGAATAAATGGCAGCACATGAAGTCGAGAGAAGTATGCGTGAAGGGCGAAAGGGCTACGCAAATAGAGATTGAGAGTGTGTAGGAGTTGATGGCCATGGCTGTAGGTTGTGTGCGCTGAACCTGTAAGGCGTCTCTGTAGTGAACAGCTGTCTACACTGTTACTACGTATGTCCCTGGGCGAGTCCGACTCGGCGGTCACTCGGCACAGTCGGTCAAAGGTACCTGACTATAGTCAACAACTATGGAATACCTTGAT